AAATTTTCCATTATTATTTACAATGAGAAGATAACTTTTGTGCAAATACTTGTATTTGCTTTTTGAGTGGTCTCCTCTACTCATCGTAGTTAAGCGAAAGCGCTTTCTCATAAGTATGTGTTTACAATTTTTTTTGCTATTCATGAATCACCTAGCATCGCGAAAGGCCGTGTTTCGGGGGTAAACTTACAAATCTACAACGAAATATATATCTAAACTAGACCTAGCTGTCTTTGGGTAGCACCCTACATAAAGTAGAAAATTATTCTGCAAAAGCGCTTAACATAATAATCTGCCCGTGACAAAGAAAAAGTATTAAAAGTTTGAATATCAAAAAGGGTAACAATTGTTCTATGTTTAAAGTGAAAATCTTTGATATCTGTCGATTAACTTCTGATTTTATTTCTTAATTATCTTTAATTTGCATATTTTTCTGTTTTAAGTGCTTTAAGTGATCTCTGTAAGAAATTCCATTTGAGCCGCGTCACGAAAAAACCAACGTAATGGGTTTGCGACCAGCATGGATCCAAACCAGCCTGCGCATCCGCGCAGTCAGATCAGGATCCATGTTGGTCGCAAACCCATTATGTTGGTTTTGTCATGACGCGGCTCATTTCTTTTTATTTTAAGATTTTTAGACCTCACTGGAGTTCCTTACGAAATCGAGAGTAAAGGGAGACAACTCACTTGAGAGTGTGTCTTAATATACAGGGGAAGTTATAACTGCCAAGTAACCGGCATTTTAAAGTATAGGCTCAATTACGCCCATGCGTTTGGTTGCATTGAATAGTTTGGGAGTTTCATTAAATCGCCTGGGCGATTCACATTAAAATGTATTATATTGGAAACAGTGGGAGAAAATGCTGAACAATGAATTTTTTAACCTTTCTTTGATCAAACACTTAGACTGAAAAAAGCTTCACAATGAACGTTGATTTAAAGGTAATCGTTAAGTATTGGAGACCTATTTTACACTCAGTTTGATACACATTTAAGAGGGGAGAAAAACTGAAAAGAATACATTGACATCACTAATTTCAGTACTGGTACGTTTCGAACCCCGACCGGTATATAATAGCCTGTATTTAACGCAAAATAATTCTCACCCGAAAGTCTTTTATTTCGTTATTTTAGAATGAAAAAGTGCGGAATCGAACCCGCTACTCCTGTTTGTGCATATTGAATGCGCCCGTTCTGACACTAAGCAACTTTTCAGTTGTTAAATCTGTTTTTGTTTGTTATAATTTAATTCCATAGATACAACAAAAAATTACAAACGCGGGACTGTATAACTATTTAATAAGATGTCTTTATATTCCACAGCGAATTCAAATCCAAATTTCTTTAATTGTACCAATAATCCAATACATTTCTATTCACCATTTATGGTAGCCCTTGAAAAAATAAACGAACTCAGGTTAACTATTATTATTTTTCTGAATGAAAAAGTATAATTCATTGTAAATCATCTGTAGGAATATTATATCACAATATTATAGAGTAGACGAGAGCATTTCTTTACAAGGGATATTAACCAAACAGAAACTATAATATAGATTTTTTTTAATTCGGTGATTGTAAATCGATTATTTGCAAGAGGAATTATTTTGTACTACTTGTCCTACATTGTTACAAACATAATCTTCGATCGTTAGTTAGTTAGTTTTAAACCATATTACAGTGACCAATGACACTATAATAATAAACCAGAAACTTTGTACCAGAACTTTTTCATGTTTTTTTTGTAAAAAAAAGGTTTGTTTTTTTGTGGGGAAAAACACTTTGGGTTTTTAGGTTTTATTTTTAATTTTTTTTTTTTTTAATGAAAACGGGAATAAAAACGGATAACGAATAATTAGAACGGTAAAAGGATAGTAAATGCACCCAGAATGAGGTAAATTAAGCTGTTTTTTTACCATATTACTTTATTTTGATTGATTTAATCGTATGGCTGTAGATCTTAATCAACTTCAGTGTTTGCAATTATTTATTTGTTGTCTAATAGGATAACAGCATTTTAAACGAATGGCAACGCATTTTTCTTTATTAAATCGGCAAACTGTTAATCAGTATAGTAAAATTGACTGTCTATAAAATAATTCCAAATAGTAAATTATACTAAAATGGGATACAAGCTAAACTAAAGTTAAACATATTGCTTTCAGAAAAAAACGAGAAGCACCTTTTAAAATAATCAAGTAATACATAACAAATCAACTAAAAAAGCATTGTTTAATTTCACAAAAAGGGCATTCTCTTTCATTATTTACAGTTGGCTGACAGTAAAATATGCCATAGTTCTAATCCTTACACTATACCACGTGATTGACAAAGGTAGGTACATTAAAGTTTGTTTATATAGTTTTTGTTTGTTTGTTTGTTTGTTTGTTTGTTTGTTCAAATGCATGGACTATGGAATTGTGGGTTCGTGCCATACTTCGACCATCGTTACTCGTCAGCGTGCCATACTTGTGTTTGCTTGTCCGAAAAATGGAGATGATGTTTATCATCTTTATATACTAGTATTACTACTAAGAGTACTGAATATTGCCATCAAAATAAGTCATATATTGCTTTGATAAGATTAAAATTTAATTGCACCAAATTTTTTGAACGAAACAGTTTCTATTTATAGAAAAAATACAAAACCCAATCTGTGTTTTTCCTTCATCGTTGTGTTTTTAGGAGGTTATTTTTAATCAAAAATGCATGGTTAATGGTTTGTTCATAAGTTGGTACAATGCTTGAAACATATTCAATATTTTAATAGGAAAAATATAAATGAAGGGTTAATTTCAAGCATCTTATGCGAATATTTTTGTCAATAAAATAACGACTTAAAACATGAATTCGTCGTCAGTGAAAATCACCCTTATGTGACATACAACTTAAAATGTTTAAAAAAAAGTTTTAAGAATAAAATGGTATTATATTATGAAAAATCTTGAACATGTTTATTTGAAATTTAACAAAAAGCAATATATCAGTTTATGTTTATTAACTACAAAAAAAAAACTTATTTACTTGTATCTAGTTACGCTCCCGATAGAAATTGCCCTACATGTGTAATTGTCATAGTTAAATGTAGGGTATGAGGGTAAAAATTGTTATTATGGCGAGATATTGTGGTAAAATGCGACCAGAGATCACTTTTATTATAATTCAAACAGTTTAAAGAAAAAATATCGGCTTGCTTTAGAAAACGAGTATTCTTTCTCTACCGAATGTTTAAGTTAAAGGCCCGTTATGCCTTAAAATTGTTTTATTTTTTGTTTCTCAAAAGTTTTTATTCTTAGTGTCATAATTATATATATATTATAGTTTCAAAAACGTTATTCATTGGCTAAATACATGAACCATAATTTGCTTCTATTGCTCTTCTGCAATTAATAGAGTTTTAGGGATAAAGTATTTTTTATGGATGTCAAATACTACTTTGTTTACATTTTGCTACTTATAAGACAAATTATTTCTCATTCAGCCCTATTTCCTTTAGGTGATAAGATTTTAACATACTCTAAACCGTTATCTAAACGTTTACCCTTTCAAAAGAAGTAAAAAATGATTCGTTTTGAGGCATAGTGTGCCTTTAAGAAAAATATTCTATTATACTGCTGCTTTCAAAATGTAACTCATGGAATGTCACAATACAAGCAGATAAATTGATTATTAAAGGTGAATGCCAGTGCAGTTCTACAAACAAAAATGCAGTGGAGACAATTTTAGTCAATGAAACTATTTCTACATTCACAACACCTGGATACCGAGTGGCGTATTATCCGTAAGTGAATCTTTTACTTAATAAAGAACGCATGTCGTAAAACATTATCGTAAAATTCAATATAAATTCCTATATCTTAACAGAAAATTGGATATATCTTTCTTTTTTTCTCACGCTATATCTAAAACACCCATAACTCGTGCTTATGTCTAGACTTTAACCGTTTCCACTGTCAAAAATGTCTTAAATGAACTTGTCTATCTTTCAATGTGAACCATAGGTGTTCGGCGCGTTGATTGGTCACTACACCCGCACCCCCCTCACCCCCACACCCACTCTACAGCCCTCCTACCTCTCAAAACCATGTAAAATACAGTATTTTTCATTTGAAACATGTTTTAATATTTGGTTTATGCTTTTCATTCAATAACCTTCATTTCCTACAAAAAATAAAAAATTGATACATATGCGGGGGTAGTGACCAATCAACGCGCCGAACACCTATGATGTGAACAAAATCTTTACCTAGGACAGAATTATTTAAATAAAAAAAAAAATCAAAATAAGTATTAACTGATGAGCGATAATTGCAGACAATGATCAGTGCCGGTTGATTTTGATCTTCACGTGGAAAGTATCTGTTGCCGCCAACAGACCAAAGATTGAAATGATAAGCTACAAAACATATCACGTTTTACAAAGTAATAATTCAAGTTTGATCTTAACCTTTAGTCTACTGGTAGCGACAAATTCTATCTAAGGGGCCAGCACAAACAAAGATCAGCCGGCACACCCTGGTCTGCACTTTTCGTTGTTTAGTCAATACTCAGTTGGAAATTTTTCACCTTGTTATCTCAATAGGTAGAGCGTAAAACTGAAAATCGGTGACCTGGGTTCAACTCCTGGACGATGGAGCCCATTTTCGTTGCGATTGATCATGAAATCCTTTCTATGGTCACTCGCAATGTGCCTCTGCTCTAGAGTTATCAGTTCCTTGTGAAAATGAAGGTAACTAGTAATGATAAATTGCTTAATAGCCTGGCCAGGAACTATGCGGTAGCTGAACTGGTAAATTCATTGTGGCGTACTGCCGTGATCCTGAGTGAAAAGTACAAACACTACCACCAATATTATCTCATTTTATTTACGGCATCCTTTTTCTAAAATTGTATGCCTATTTTTCAGGCGGATGAGCTGTGTTTGGATATTTGATGCGGGAACCAGTGCTGCCACTATAGTGTTTGATATACAAGAAATTCTAATAGAAAACTCAAGAAGATGTTCATTTGATTCTATAACATTTTATGAAGGTATGTAGTCATAAAATTATAACATGGGTCCCTGCCTTAGATAAAATCAATGTCATTGAAAAACAAACACTGCATGTGCATAAGAATGAAATTTGTTGTTCATTATCATATTAGATGCACAACATTAATTATTTATCACAAACTTAAAAGCTGAAACTTATTTTTCTTATCATCTTATTTTTTAAATGGAATCTTCCGGCTTCCATTTTTGGAAATGGCTATTGTGGATTTAAGGGGTATCAGGATGAAAGTTGGTCAGACAACAGGACAGAGCCTGATTAGACTGGCCTGGCTCTATACTGGCAGTAAAGGGCGATCAGTTTTGGTTCCAGGTGGTTAAAGCTTAATAAGATATTAAATTATTTTTCTCTCTGCAATTGATTACGTTTAAGTAACTTTAAGTAATTCTGATTTTGCCTCGTAAGTTTATCGAGTTGTCCCAAAAAACGATACATAAATTGGGTTGTGTGTATTTTGCAAAAGATTTGTCGTCTGTTCACATGCTAATATAATGGAATACGACAACGTCTTCGTGTTTTCGACTTTCAGAGCAAATCAGATGTCTATATAAAATTCTTTGTTAGAACTTAAAGGGGCACGTGATTTTTGTGCAGAAATTCTCTGCTATATTTTTGTTTTTAATCAGTCCCAGAAATGAATGGGTTTTTTTCTCTTTAGCATGTGTTGTATAAATTTAGAGCACACTTGATGATTATCACGCGATTTTTGTTATATAAAAAACACTTATACTTAGTTTTCATTGTGTGCATGAAACGGAATTAAAAACATAAAACAAATTCCAGCCTCAAAAAAACTTTATTTCATTATCTGCCTTGCTTTTTTTATATTTCAGGAAATACTACTTCAGGAACTGAGCTTGCTAAGAAATGTGGACGTCTAACGTCAAGTTCCGTTGGGTCTTTCGTTTCGTCCAGTGGTCAGTACGCTACCGTACTCATGAAATCGGACTCGTCCAGGCAGTACGCTGGTGTCAAAATGAACGTTTTTTACGCAATAGAGAAATGTAAGTTGCATGGTGCATTCCATACTTCGATGCACACGATATATGAACATCTTTATAAAGCGCATTTTATCTTTATTTAGACAACTAAAGCTATATAACTTCATGCGTTCTTACTCTATTCAAGTGACAGTACGTGATGGCCACTAGTTGAACTAAAAAGTCGTAATATTACGTTAACAGTGTTGAAGTGATGTAAGATATAAGACACCCAAAGTATATTTAATATTATATCAACAGAAGACTTATTACTTTCCTCGTATCATTCCCCTGAACGCAAAGATCGCATTGGGGATGCTCACGGTGGTGTTATTTTGTACATTAAAGACAATATACACTACAAACGTAGAATAGATCTAGAATTAAACAGGTTAGAATGTATTTGGATCGAGTTGATTCTTTGTAACAATCGTCATATTCTATTTAGTATTTTCTATCGACCGCCTTACTCAGATGTCATATACAACAATCTAATTGAAGATTCTATTGGTCTAGCCATTGACACTAATATACCTGACATCATCATTACGGGTGATTTCAATCTAAATGTAAACTGTTATTCATCTAACCGCAAAATTACATCCATGACTCAACAGTTCAATCTAGAACAACTAATAGATGAACCAACACATTACACTGAACATTCAAATTCTTTGATCGACCTTATATTAGTTTCAAAACAAAAGCAATGTTATTCATTTTGGTGTTGGTGATCACTTTCTAGAACAAGAACTAAGGTATCACGTTCCTATATTTGGTTTTTCTGAAATTCCGTAAACCGCGACAAATGTGTTTTTGATCGCATTGTTTGGGAATATGAACATGCTGACTACGAAGCATTACGTGAAGATATAAATACCTATACATGGGAAAACTGCTTTGATGCAGATGTTAACATATATGCGAATAACGTAATCAATCAGATACAAACAATTGCTAAAAATAACATCCCTAACAAATTGATTAAAGTAAGACCATTAGATGTTCCATGGATGACAAACTCAATCAGAGTTAATATCCGTAAACGAAAACGTCTGTATAAAAAAGCTAGAATGACAAATTCACAATATTACTGGCAAAGATTCAAATCTATTCGTAATGAAACAATATTATTGATACGGGAAGCCAAGTCAAACTATTTTTTGTAAACTCTCTAATAAATTGAAAAATGAATCACTTTCGTCTAAAGACTGGTGGAAGACTCTGAAATCTTTTATTTCATCAACAAATAATAGTAGCATTCCACCACTGACAGACCCCTTAAACAGAAATATTGTTTACTCAAATAACGATAAGGCAAATCTTCTAAATAACTTCTTCGTAGAACAAATGTCTATTAACGATGAGAACAGAGATCCACCTTACCTTAGTTCACCACTTTCCTGTCTCAACGATATTGTGCTTAGCCCTCATGAAGTAAAAGATGTTCTTCTTTCGTTACAAGTTGACAAAGCAGTAGGTCCAGATGGTATAAGTAATAGAATTTTACGCGAGGCTTCTCATGAACTATCTTCCCCCTTGTGTGACTTATTCAATGCTTCTCTACGATGTTGTGAAGTTCCAATCACATGGAAAGAGGCGAATGTCACTGCAGTTCACAAAAAGGGCGATACATCTCTCCCAAATAACTATAGACCCATATCACTTTTGAACACTACAGAAAAAGTTTTTTGAACGTCTTGTATTTAAACACATCTTTAACTTTCTCAAAGTAAATCATTTTCTGTCTACTGCTCAGTCTGGTTTTATCCCGGGTGATTCTACTGTTAATCAGCTTGCCTTCATTTATGATACCCTTTTGTAGATCACTTGACAATGGCCTCGAAGTTCGTGTGGTTTTCTTTGATATCAGTAAAGCGTTTGACAAGGTTTGGCATAAAGGCCTACTTTCGAAACTAAAAGCACGCAGGTATATGTGGATCTTTGTTATCTTGGTTCAATAGTTACCTTACTGATAGAAAACAAAGGGTCATACTACCTGGCGCCTACTCATCATGGGCTTTTGTCAAAGCAGGAGTCCCTCAAGGCTCTATACTTGGTCCCCTATTATTTTTGATCTTTATAAATGATATTGTTAATGAAATTGAATCTTTCATAAACCTTTTTGCTGATGATACCAGTCTTTATGTTATAGTTGAACATCCTAACACAGCAGCCACACTTCTTCAGTCTGACATCCAAAAAATCTCTTTATGGGCAGAAAGGTGGCTAGTCACCTTCAATCCTTCAAAATCGGAATCCCTACTTGTAACCAGAAAGCGAAATTGTCAGCATCACCCTTCATTGCATATGTTTAACCAACAAATTCCAGAAGTTTCTGAACACAAACATTTAGGCATCTTTCTTTCTTCTGACTGCACATGGCACAAACATATTGAATACATAACTGATAAAGCTTGGAAAAGGGTTAATATAATGCGTAAACTGAAATTCTCTCTAGATCGTAAATATTTGGAAATCATCTATATAGCATTCATTAAACCTATTTTGGAATACGATGATGTAATTTGGTGCAATTGTACCCAATATGAACTCGAACAGCTTGATAAGATTCAAAATGAATGTGCACGCATTGCAACTAGTGCAACCAAGCTTATCTCACTAGAAACTTTGCAGAAAGAAATTAATTGGGAATCGTTATCCGAAAGAAGATATAAACACAAACTAATTATGTTTTACAATATGCAGTCGAACAAAACTCCAGATTATCTCTCATCATTAATACCAAATCCAGATCAATCCCGTTACAGCTTACGAAACTCTGAAGATATCAGAGGAATTACATCAAGGACTACTCTGTACCACAATTCTTTCTTGCCATCAGTTATTCGTGATTGGAACAACTTGCCTGTTATAGTACGAAACAGCCATACAATATCTTCATTTAAAACTTTCTTAAACAAGGACAGAAAATATACACCAACATACTTTTATACAGGTAGTCGTAAACTGCAGGTCCTTCACACTCGGCTTCGAACGAACTGCAGCGCATTAAATCACCACCTGTTTTTGAAAAACATTTCTCTTACCCCTTTGTGTAATTGTGGGCAAATCGAAACTACCCAACATTTCTTTTTCGAGTGCTGTGCATACGATGCCGTCCGCAGAACACTCCTCCTTAACTTGCAAGACTTCAGCATAAACCTTCATAAACTTCTCTTTGGTGACCCATCTCTTACATACCAGGACAACGTTATTATATTTACAAATGTACACAATTATATAGAAAAAACGAAAAGATTTACTTAGATCCATTCTAATTGAGACTATAATCCTCTCACACCCTTTTTCTTCTCTTTTCCACTATTTTGTTTTCTTCTTTTATATATATTCTTACATTTTAGACATCTACTTGTAGTTAATCTATTCTATAAAAGTTTATATATAAATATATATTTTTATGTGTGTATAATTAATACTTATTCCCTTGTCTAGTATATACTAATTATAAACTTATTTAAGACAAACCATATAGTTCGCCAAAGGAGAAGAATTCTATAAGACTTGTCTTTCATTCTCATCCTTTTCCATTGTGTAAAATGTTTTGTTTGTTATATATTTGTATGTATGTACATTATATATACTTTCGGGAATAAATATGTTTAAACTAAAGTATATTAAGTTGTATACATGTACATTTAGAATAATACGACCGTAATTAACTAATGTGACAAGTTTTTTTTAAAGCATCAAACTAGTTTAGTCAAGGGTCTACTTCTTCTTCATGTACACTGTACACAAAAAAAATGATTGATATGGCATAAAATAAACTTTTCAGTTTTTTTCTTTTAAAAAATAGAAATGAGCGTTAAATGCAACTTTTACAAATAATTTGATAAAGGGTTTTATAAACTGAATAAAATGTACATCTAGACCTAATCGTAGTTTTAAAATTTATTTATTTATTTATTTATTTATTTATTTATTTATTTATTTATAAACTGAACAAAAAGCATTATTTATTTATTTATTTATTTATTTATTTATTTATTTATTTATTTATTTATTTATTTATTTATTTAGATAACAAATACATTTATTTATTTATTTATTTATTTATTTATTTATTTATTTATTTATTTATTTATTTATCCATTTATTTATTTATCTATTTATTATAGAAAACAAAAAAGCATTACAGCAATTAATTAAGCAAAAAAAAAAACAAAAAACTTTACCTCTGTTTAATCATTTTAGCGGCTGGCTCGTGTTCCGGAAATACAGCGTCAATAACGGCAACCACCACGAGCGATTACATCACGTCCCCGGGCTACCCGGCGTCCCTTGATAAGTAAGCAACCGTTTTATTTTAATCTAAGTTACTATAGTACATATAACCATTTATATTTCTAAAATATTTTATATAGATCTACCTTGATTTATAAATTATTATTTTGTGACTTATAAAAATAAATTGTTGAATGTTTGTTATGTTTGTTACAGGAGATAATTTCATATAAGCTTTAAACTTTCTACGCAATCCTAGATGAAATTTATATTGTTGTTGTTGTTGTTTTTTTATTATTATTATTATTATTATTATTATTATTATTATTGTTGTAATTATTATTATTATTATCATTATTTGTTTGTTTAATCAATCTAAAAACATATCTTAATGCAATATCCTACATTGGAGTAATTGCCGCTTTTAAAGTTTAACAGTTTATTTTGCACGTATGCAAAGGTACCGCTTTAAGTAGATAGTATACGATCGATAAATGTCTCATTGGTATATCGTGTCAGGATGGCCGAGCGGTCTAAGGCGCTGCGTTCAGGTCGCAGTCTGGTTCTCCAGGCGTGGGTTCGAATCCCACTTCTGACAAACTTTTTATCCTATTTTTTTTTCTTTCTTTTTTTTTGACATTTAATTTTAGTTCAAATACGTTGCATATTATAAAATTTCAATGCATTTATAACTCGTTATTTATCATATTTCTATCTTATTGTTTGTGATTTTAGCCAAGCTATAGAAAAGATAGCGAATATACGGAAAACATGTTTCACGGCAGTGAAAAATATTTTTACTGAGAATATACGGACAATGAAAATACGCACTTTATTCCATCAATATTTCACAGCATTTCATTTATAATGTATACAACGTTCAAATGTATGTAATGAAATAAATAAAGTAATATATTTGTTTTCGTTATTCAGTGGCGTGGATTGTTCGTGGACCATAACTTGCGCCCCTGGTACAGTGCTCTACATTGAAATTGAATACTCGGACCTGGAATATACTTCGCCATGCTTTGAACAGATACTAGCGATCTATGATGGTAAATGTTTTAAATTTAGTTGTTTTTATCCTTGACCAACTGGAACAAAAATTGATAGTTCTTATAGCCCACAGATACAGATCCAGGGCATCTCACACACATCTTAGCTGTCTGACAAGGCTCTACATTATATATAATGTTGGTAGCTCAATTTTTACATGGACTGAAAACTTAACATGAACAGAACATTGTACATGGCTACTTTATATGGAATGAAAACTTTACATAGACACTTTACATAGACTAAAAACTTTACATGGACTAAAAACTTTACATGGACACTTTACATGGCCTGAAAGCTTTACATGGACTCAAAACATTACATGAACATTTTGCATAGACTAAAAATTTTTAATGGACTAGAAACTTTACATGAACACATTACAATGTACATAGACTAAAATTTTTACATAGGCTTAAAACATTATATGGACTAAAAAAATACATGGATACTTTACATGGACTGAAAACTTTACATGGAGTGAAAACTCTACATGGACTGTGCTAAATTCAAAGCAGGGCATTATCCATAACACTAGTTCCGCAAGGTATAAGATAAACTTACTGATACATTAAGGTGAAGTGAGTCTAAATTATATGAATAAAGTATCTAAACGTTTTTTCTTCCTTGTGTGAATACCTCGTTTACATCTGGCCTACCCATTCATTATACGTATCAAAGTGGCAATTTAGCTGTGCTAAGAGTTTTGTGGCTCATATAAATGTAACGTTTCACGAAATTTTAGATAAAAGAAAGTAGTCATGAATGTCAAGGGCTAATGATGAAAGGAAAGTGGTCTTAGTTTTAATTCTCTTTTAACATTCAAATCTGAATTTCACCCATCTATATATGCTTTAAAACCCATTTCTAATTCATTTCGTATCTCATAATAAATTGCTTGGATTAGTTCAAGCAAAGAAGCTATCAAGATAAATTAAGACCTCGACGGGTCGACGGTCCGGTGCCCATTCATTTTTGTAATAATTATATATAAACTTTGTGCATTTTTATCTTTCATTAACTTTTCAATAATGTCTATTGAAGGAACGTCCAATTCGGACCCAGCTGTTTTAGAGAGTTGGTGTGATTCCAAGGCCAACTTTCCGACACAGTCGACAGTGTACTTTACCACCGGAAATACTGCCTTTATTACTCTAAAAACAGAAATGGAATCTGCAGCGGAAAGACACGGCTTCCGGATTAATTTCAGGCAAAATTCATCAGGTACGAAATGTTAATTTGTAATTTTTATGAAGTGAAAATCTAAGGTCATGCGAACATAGATCTAGATATGCAGCCCCTTACAAGCGTTCTTTTATTATTTATATAAGGTAGATCTATAAAAACTTTTTTTTGTATTTTTGATATCACAAATGATTTATGTAAATAGTAGGGATACCAATCTAAGGTATTTCTACACAGTCGTGTACGCACAAGCAGGTCTCTTTTGTTTATATGCATAGATAATATTTTTCTGTGAAATAAATTAACAACTTTCTTATACAAAATGAAAGTAAATTTCACATTCAGATACTTTTTCCTACAAGCAAATTCCATATTTTCAGCTATAACGACAACTACAGCACCAATAACAACAACAACCCAGTTGGTCCAAGTTTGTTCTAGTTCTCCAACAGAGCTTGACGCCAGCGACAATGCCCAGTACTTCCGGTCGCTGAATTATCCAAACGATTATCCAAAGTAAGTAAAAAAGTCAGAGTAAAAAACTGTTGTGAACATGTCCTTTGTTTCTACGGTTTTTGTTATATATACATTTGTATTTTGTAACTATCGTTAATCGCTTCTTAACGAATGTGGCAGGTCTACGTTTCGATTCGCTCATTGTAAGACATTTTTGATCGAGTTCGATTTTGTCAAGCGACACTTAATTGATGTTAAGAAACTATATAGCTTACGTTCTAAATGATTTTGTTTCTTAAACGCACTATAAAATTCGATCACACTAAGCAGTATATTACAATAGAGAGAAATAGAATCACTATACTATAGAAACGGGCGACTTTTTACGACCTCCACACGGCACAAACAACGCTGAGGTGGCGATAAAAAAGAGAAAATAGAATCCCTTGAGAAAGTCCACAATAAGTATTTCCGTTACTATAAAGAAGATAAATTACCTGCAGTTAATATAGACGTAGTATTAATGAAAGCATATCAGTATGACTTATTAAAACAGCACCAACTTATCTTTTTACGGTTAAAAGTATCACTTTCAAAGAAAATAAAAATCCGATAGATTCTATTCTGATTATATTCTATTCTAATTCTATTCTAGTAGTGAATAGTTTAATGCCGCACATGCTACACAAATTATATATTATTCTTGCATAACAAAACTTTCTATTTATAGCAATGTAAATTGTTACTGGCGAATTACTGCCCCTATTGGTTTCACGATCAACCTGACATTTGTTGACTCGAACATACAACCTGGCGAGGACTGCTCGATTTCTGACTCGGTCACTGTTTATGACGGTAAGTATAGACAAGCAAAGTATCCATGGTAGTTTCCTTTACTGACCAAAGTTCGAAATATTGGCTATATAATATAAGTTATTGTTTATTGTTGAGTACAATACTGAATTGAATTGGACGAACACATAGTGTAAAACCTGTATTTTCAGGTATCAACGAGTTCAGTATTGCATTAAAAAATTACAATGACCCTTTATTTCACACCATTATTGTCTGACATTTTTACATGCAATTTTCAATTAGAATATTCAGTAAAATAAGGATTTGATCATTATCTATATGCGGTATAGATTTGTATTTTTTATTATACAAGTGTACATCCAAGATGATAGATCGGAAAGCAAAATTATTGGTTGAAAATTATATACGTTTTTTCAGTTGATTCAGCTGATTCACTTGAAATTCTGTTCAAATTAACAACAATTTCAATATGACTTTCATTCTGAATTAGTAACAATTATTTGATAGAATTTGTTAAAAGTGCTGATTTGACAACTAATGCCCTTGTATGATACTAGCTCAAGTAGAAATTGCGGTTCATACAGTACAAGTCAAAATACCAACATATATGTACTACATATTTGAAAATAAACATACATACATGAAAAGCATAGATATTTCCTTTTAAATGGAAAATCTTTTCATGATTGGCAATGAAATAAAGCGTGGGTGCCATGCATGTTTTACTGGCTTTGTTTACTAAATAGTGCAGAATAAAGAATATACAATTATTTTTCTAAATCATCATAATGCTAATGGCATCGAAAGAAATCAGTCATTTCTATTCTATATAAATAATAATTATTACAAACATTAAAAGATATTGTGTGAATATTTTTTTTATCTGATATTTGTTGTCTCCCCTGATTAAACTCTTAACATTTTAACCGTCCGATCACCCAGTAGTTAGAGCGTTAGACTGTGTTAGGCCCGGGTTCGTTTCCCGGACGGTCCATGTCACTTTCATTGTGATTAATCATAAAATCCTTTCTACGGTCATTCGCTCTATTCTGTATGAATGCTCTGGCGAAAGTGTACTGGTAAACTGCTAGCCATCCTGCCCAGGAACGATGCAGCGGCTAACTTGGCTCTGGTAAATTAAATGTGATTTACTGCCGCGATCCGGAGTATGAAATACAAACACCAACACCATAACTAACACTACACTACCACAGAGACGTTGATACACACTTACAATTAGTAATTTCTAATTGAAATTTATATCAATGCAGATAAATATGAATCAATATATTTTTTATTACAGGTCGGTCAAGTTCATACCCACGAATGACAAGATTCTGCGGGGCCGAGTCACCAGTGTTAGCCAGTACCGGAAGATACTTGTATGTCCACCTTAAAACGGATCTGACGGTGGGGTACCGTGGTTTCTCTGCTATGTACCAAACCGTTCCATCCGGTAGGTTTTTTGTGTTTTTTAAGCTAATTTAGTTTAACAATTTCAAAATATCTGTGTTAAAATGGGTGATGCAAAATTAGTTTTTAAATTTTAGTGTTTGTTACAAGCGGTAGTTGCTTTGTATAGTATGCCTGATTTTTTTTCATAAACGTCATTGTAACACTACGGTGTTCTGTTAGGACAATCGTGATTAAGTTAGTCTGTACCCGTGATGCATGATGGCGAAAGTACGATGGTACGATGGTAAAAACGCAATGGCGCGATGGTACGATGGTGAAAACGGAATGGTACGATTGTTGAAAACGCGATATAACAGCGCATTTTCACCGTTGTACCATCGTGTTTTCACAATCGTACGATTGTCCAAACGGAACACCGTATATAAGCAATTGTTTTGTATAAATTCTGTGAAGTGTATGTACCCAGTTGTTATTAACAACACACGGCATACACTATTTACTCATTATAGCCGGGATTTGTCTTATTCCGTGTTTGTTATATGCGATGTTTGTTTTATGCATCTGTTAGCTTTTGAGCTAATAATTCATTTAAAAATCACTTCCGTTGACTGATTGTTTGATTGATTTTTTTATTAATTTCAGCTGTTCCGGATTGTGTTGTTACGGGAATCACGGAAAATATCACCGCTTCTGACACACCCCAGTCGTTAACGTCACCCGGATACCCTAATAATTATAACGAGTGGGTTCAAAACAATATTTATTGTAATAAATTAAAATGATCCACAATTGGTTTTAATCTTTCAAATGAATCTATTTATGCCACCAGTGCAGACCAAAATCATGATCATAGTCTGCGCTTGTCGTTACTCAGTAAGAACCTCTTGGAGATTTTTCCTGAAAATGATAAATGGTTTGTCAAGACAATTCTAAAAAGTTTCAGCATTATGGAGTCAGATGTACTAGTAATTAATAGCTTCTTAAATCAAACTGTTCGTATTTATAGTTTTGCCTACTCCAAGGCCGATCTGTGGCAAATAGCTTTGACCTTGAGACAACAATATAAGTACTTGGGAAAAATCCCAATCTTGTAGGGACAATCAGGAAGTGCTTCTTAATCTTAAATCAAACTGTTCCTAACTATAGTTTTGCCTACTCCAAGGCCGATCTGAGGCAAATAGCCTTGACCTTGAGACAACAAGTACTTGGGAAAAATCCCAATCTTGCAGGGAAAATCAGGAAGTAAAATTTCCGTTATGACAGCAAAAGTATTAAATCCACATTCACATGGAAGCGGATAGTGGTTAAATAAAACATTGTCCATTTCCCCCCGTCACTAAGGCATTTTGACTGAATGGTGCGGTCGTTTCAAAGTCTTAGGCAAACAACAAAGAACTATAACATAGTACAGATGACGATTTGTAACAGCCTTGAACTTGTAGAACATTTTTAATTGAGAAATAATAACATATGATATATTGCAGTTCGACAGTAACTTATTGGATGATAACAAATCCGAATGAGACTCAGGCTTTAGCCATTACAGTGACGGACTCTCGTCTGGAGGCTAGTGTTGACTGTATATATGACCGGGTACAGATTTATCAAGGTATGTCATGTATGTTACAGTCTTATGTGAGAAATTATATGAATACCAGTACCAGATCCCTATGAGAGTAATAGTACATGTAAACTTGATATAGCATTATACATATAACAATTACTCGAAAAACACTGTGACATATTTACGTCGAACATTGTATAATCAAATCTTATAATTTTGCTACGCCGGAAGTGATTTCTGTCTAAACATATTTTAATGAGCGTCTACTAGTATTCGATGCGGACGGTAATTACCTTTAAGTTTGTGTCAGAAATACATTTTGCTTTTACAAGTGATATAAATTTTTTGTAGTTCATATTTACTCTTTGTAAATTTATGTAAAACTGCTAAGGTAAAATTTTAAGTATTTGTTTTCCAGGGCCGTGTACATCATATCCGCTGTTAGGGACTTTTTGCGGAGAAGACACGCCGACGTATTATTACGACACGGGGGCATACGCTCTTGTTGTCCTTACTACAGATGGCAATGTTAACTATAAGGGTTTTAACATAAGCGTCTACCTTACTGATAAGCCAGGTAAGTTGCAATTTTATAATTATATGAAAAAGATCAGCTTTAAAATTAAATGTTTGTCTTGATTGTGCGTTTAAAGCCAATGAATTTTATTAGGGAGGGCTAAATCCATTGCGAAAATTGCACACTCTTTCATCAAGCTGGCTTAATGAGCTGGCTGGATTCCTGACTTTGTCGTTACAGTACTCGTGCCAGAGGACCAGACGAGTTTTTTCTTCTTCTTCAGGAAAATCACTTTATTGTAAAATATCAATTGTAATTTATTATACGAAAAATTGATTGCGAGCATTAAAGGCCCATTATGCTCCAGAAAAGCTTTTATTTCTATTTCTCTTAAGCTTTTTATGTGGTGTCCATTTATACTTTCCAAAAACTAACTTATTGGTCAATTGTCTGAATCGTATTTAGCTTATGTTGATTTCTGGAAATTAGTACAGTCAAAGTGATTTAGTTTTTTTTTGTGTAGAAGTAAAGATACATCTTTTGTTTACATTTTGCTACTTTTATGACAAATAATTTCGCATTCAGCGCTAATTCTTCAAGTAGTTATAAGCATCTTAAACCTTTATTTAAACATTAAATACATCATTTATAAAATTCACGTGTCTCCTTTCTAAAAAGAGAACAATTATGTGTCTTGCTAATAAACTCAAAGGGAGGAATTTAACAAAATAACTCAACAGAACTGATGACAAGAAATCTAAAATATTTTAAAACAAAAGAGTTCTAATTTGTCGTCTGCTGTTTTTGTTTTAGATGACGATTTAAGCGCTTTAGTGGTAACCGGCATTATTGTCGGCTGCGTTCTTGGTGGAAGTGCAGTCATTGCCGGCGTCTCATTTGGTGTTTACAAGTATGTTAACCGAGGAAGTGACCACGTGCCATCACGTGACTCGAGTCGAAGGTCGTCTGCGTCATCATCGTCAGACGGCGGTATAACAAATAGATCATACATGAAGAGTAAAGTTCCGCGGAGATTGCCACCTATCAAAGAATTTTACACGTCTAGTTTTACAAAGAGATAAACTCTGATAATTTAATTTCGTCTTTTTAAGAATTATTGAACTAAAGTTTGTTTGTACAAAATAGAGTTTTCCAGGGAGTTTTTAGTTTTAGTAACACCGTACTTTAGATAGGTTAATATATATTTGTTCTGATGTGATGCTATTGTGTTTTAGTTATTTGATTTATCATCTGCATTTTATTGTCTAAATATTTTTTGAAGATAATATTTTTACAATTTCATGTCATGCTTATGATTAATGTCAAAATGACCATATTTTATATTAAAAAAAACATTGTATATAGCCACACAATGTTACTTTAGTTTTTTTTTTATTTACTAATTATTTCAACCGAACAGCTCACTATCATATCATCGTTTGTTACAATCGGACACATTCGCCTCTTTTCAACAAACTCAAAATTATCATTTTTATTGGTAATTGCCGAGGTGTTTCGAAAGCATTTGTAAAAATTAACCCTAGCATAAACACAATGGCGTATTTCAGTTAAAAACTAGGAAAGAAAATATAGAATTCTAGGTGAAAGATGATTTCGTTTAGTAAATCTGTACCAGAACATGACAGAACACAGAGAAAAACTGTTTAAATATTGCTATAAAAACAACAACGGGAACAACAACACAATAGCTGAAAGTACATGTAGTCACAAGTGATGACGTCATCAGTCATATGTAACGTCAATGGATAACAATATTTCAGAAGATGATGTTGACGTTTCCTACGTAACATCATGTGATAAAAAGAAAGAACTTGTTGTCTTGTAGAATCGCCTCTCAATCATTGTTTGATCCGTCATTTTTAAAGTACGTCACGCAATATCTCGACAACGGGCTGACGACGTCATAAAGTAAGAATTTTTCTACGAACGACACTTTATGTAGATCTATTATTCTTTTTTATTTTCATAACGCGAATATTCACACATCTTTTGTTCATTGAACTTCCTCCACTGCATTTTTCTTCCCCCGTATTTTATGAATGAGGTTGACAAGATCAAAGATCATAACCACGCACACCACTATGATAATAAAAACAACACCTGCCACGCCTATATTCTGAGAGGAGGTGCGCGTATCCACCGCACTTTGTTTTCCAGCAACATGTGAGGACAGCTTCTTTTCGTTCACTTTAAGTTCCTTTCTGGAAATAGATAAGAATATTTTGAAGCATAATAATTGGTCGATAGTTCCTAAATATTAACCAATCACGTATAGTCTTACGGTCACTGGAAATCAACAAATCAGATGCAGCTTTACAGTAACATGTCTTAAAGGCTGAACGCCAATAAATTTTTATTTTTCTTCTATAGATATATTAGTACGTAAAATAAATCTACAACTGTACAAACAACTTTGTATCAGATATTCAGTGTATAGGATACATGTGTGAGCATCAAGCACTTAGAATGCCAAGTCCTCTTTAGTACAGGAGTTCATCTACAAATATTCAAAATAAAACGAGTCAAGTAAAGTATGCATTAAGGACGTTTTCCCTTCTATAGCAGAAGCTGTTTAAAAGCTGTTTCCCCTTTTTAATCGTGCAATTTTCCCTTAGAATTAAATTAATATAAAGTTTTTCCTTCCATTTTTGAAATAAAGCGTTATTGTTTGAAAATTCACGGAAAAGGCCCTTCCTCTACCTGTAAAAAAGCTCCGGCATTTGAAAACAATTAGCGGAAACAAAAATTTGTATATATGCAATGTCTAAAAGAAATATCAAGATTTATAACTAGAACTAACTGGTACTTCTCAGATTCCGCCTGATTGTACGCATCCTGTTCAGATTTGTTCATCAGCTGATATTCCTCAAGTTTCGTCTGCCACGAGCACCTGCATGCGCAGTTCTGCCAGCAGCTAGCGTTCGTCTGCTCGGTTAACTGTGGGGTACACTGAGGTTCCTCTGGAAGAAGCATACTTGGTGTCCCTAGTATATAATTAGATTGTGTTAAAATATAAATTAAATTCAACTCCTTACCCAAGCTAAAACATAAGAAGATCTGAGGCGTACTCACAACCAACTGATCTTAAGTTATTTCTTAAGTAACGACATAAGTTGGGAAACAATCTAAGCTAACTTGAGACATCATGGCTATAAATGGTTAAATAGATGGCAAAAGATTCTTAAGAACGGTACAAAATCACGTTTTTTTTTCTTATCAATATAATTTCAATTATAACGGAAATTTAAGGCATTAATCTACTGAATTTCTTAAATGGACTTGTCCAGCTTCCATTTTTGGAACTGTCCATTATCAATATTGGGGATATCAATATGAAAATTAACAGCGAGTCGGCTAACATTATAGAGCCTGATAAGACTTCACTTCCGCCCCCCGCAAGTGAATGATTATCTGTTATTGTCCCTTATATTTATTAACACAAACAAAACATAATAGAACAAATTTCAAATTCTATTTTTAACTATGATTGACGATTTTTTGGCGCATGTGCCACCCGCTTTATTGGAAAATCTCAAACATCGTTATTATAATATCCATTTTGGTTCGATTTTTTTTCACGACACAAGTTCATTCCATTTCATTTGTATAACATTTCAACTTTTTCATTTATTCAATAACTTTCTATAGTATCTGGTTTATGTCTTCTACATGTCACAGGATGAGAAAAATGTGCAGTCTGACCGGGACTCGAACCCGGAACCCTCGGAATACCGTACCGCGGCTCTACCGACTGAGCTATCCGGCCGCCTTCGCATCATCTCCCCTAAATAGTGAACAGTTCTGAACCGTGACATACTCCCCTGCTATATTGAAATTCGTCCTCGAATTTCACAGAGTTACAGACAATGTGAATTAAACTCTGAGCTATTCAGTCACGGTCCCCCGTTGGGCGCCAAATGTCACAGGGTGAGAAAAATGTGCAGCCTTACCGTGCAGCGCTTACACATTTTCTCCCCGAAATAGTGATCAGTTCTGAACCGTGACATACAATTATGGGCCAGTAAGTTAATTCTCACCTTCCAAACTAGATCCACAGTCCTCACCAAACGCCCCGTCCAAATCTGAATCTACCAAAGTAAAGAAAACGTGCAAAACATGATAACAAAATTCTTCATTTTATAACTTCTAACAAAGTAATTTCAATTTTGATGGCTCGGTTGCAAAGAACAAATACATTGTTATTATTACTATTATAGTTATTATTATAACTTGCCCAACTTATATAGCGCCCTTTTCATATAATTATATTATACGTTCAAAAGCGCTTTACAGTGATTTATTTTATGCTTTTCAGTGGATTACTGATTTATCCGTGAAAATTATATTTGGTAATTTCACAGTGAAAATTATCAAAATATAATTTCACTCTTTTCAATGACGAAACTACTTTTTTAAGATTTTCCCCATGTGGTGCCTCAATTTTATTTTTGCTGACAATTCTGACAATGTCAGGCTGTTTAAAGAAAAAGCAAAACTGAAATTGATAAATAACTTAAATGTCAAAAGTAATAAAAAGAAGAAAACTTACTTCTATTCATTCAAATTCATGAAATTCCAATCACCAAATTTCGTTTTTTTGTTTCATTTTGACAGTCTCAAAAATACATTCCTTCCCCATGCAAAACTGCTCTTGATGACATTTGGGCATATTAAAGTATCCTACGAGCAATAACTGCCGTATGCTTTATGAAAAATTGAAAGCATTGACAGCCATAACTCGAAGAATAAGTTAAATCAACCCAGCGTTCTTGAGCAGGTTTCCAAGTTTTCCATTTTCCTAGCTCCTTTTCTGAATGTTTTCACATCTGTCAACACTTATTTTTTGTCTGTTACAATCCTCAAATAAGTTTTCTTTCTTTTAAAAATGTGTATGACTAACAAATCCAAATTATATCCCTCTGAATCTTACACAATTATTTTCCTCCCATGAAATACACAACTTTAAAAAATGGCTGCCGCTTACAATTTACAAAGCCAGGTCTAATATAAATTCGCACTAAGTAACAGAAATATGGATGGATGGTTGGACTTTTTCTCCTACAAGAATTGTTTGTTTTTATTATCAAAACAGGCGATCATTCATATTTTTTTAATAAAATTAATAAATATCACCGTCATTTAATGTTGATTGGCGGACTTATTTTTCAGCTCAAGACTTCTTTTTTTTAATGAGAAATTCCGAATAAATGGGGCTCTCAATGGGGGAAACAGTTTTAATATTAACGTTAAAATTATGGAAATTTCGTTTTAACTTGTTTTTAAGCATAAAATAAAAAGAAAATTTGTCTGTTTGTTGTGTAAGATGTAATTTTATTTCATCTCGTGAACTTTAAAAACAGTATTCTCACTCGTGGCTTCGCCACTCGTGAGAATACTGTTTTTAAAGCCCACTCGATGAAATAAAATTTCATCTTACACACAAACAAACAAATATCCTCTATATAAACTGAGACTAATAATTAAATAACAGACAGTATCATTAAATAGTAAGACATGTTGATACATTTATAAAAAAACATGTTTTAAAAATCCTTTAATATACCAGTTGTATTCACAGCAAGAAGTGTGTTTAGTCAACTGCAAGTTCAAGTCCTTGGGACACAATTCTTTATATATCTTATAACGAATTCTGACATATACCCCGACACTGATTCAATTGTTAACATGTATGCAAAGAAGTTGACATGTAACTTTGATTGACTAATCATAGAAAATCCAATACAGTCTTACATAAATGTAACTTTCAGCAGGTATTTTTCTAAGACACTGATATGGGGTCATGTGATTTGGTTATTAAGTCGAGACCGATGATATTTGGATATCAGTTTATTTTATTGATTGATTGTCCCATAATCCACCTTGTAACTTAGTCAAACGACAAACTCCCTCTCGAACACGCATTACCCTTTTTAAAAATTGTTTGATGTCTCTTGCCCATTTCCCCCTCTCTGGCAAAACAACAACACCTTGGACGTGCCTTACAAACATGCAGACAATATACCTTGCTTAGTCGTGCTATATCCGAAGTAACATACACTTTCTTCGTCTGCAAGGCCGTCACAGTCCGCGTCTGTACCGTCACCATCCGTACCGTGTTTAAGACGACATATTTGATTCTGAAAGTAAACAAATCTCTTTATTACATTAGTAAGCAAAACAAGAAAAAAAGATTTATCAATACTATTTCTTCTTATTAAATATAGATAAAGAAAATAACTGACGTTAATTAATACAACAAATTTAATTAAAAAATTTTCAGCAAGGTCCTATCCTTTAAACTTGTTAAGTTGATATAACTCCATTTTGCTATGACTCTGTCATTGATTTTTCCATAGTAACAAAATGCACTATCATATTTGAAGATATACTTAAATGAACAATTTGTTAAATTCGGATATTTTCAGACCGGACTATAGAATTCATGAGCAGATTGTGTTTCACTTAATAATGTATGTGAATTGATCTTGCTATGATTTATGTAAATGGTCTTGCAGTGATTTGTGTAAATTTGTCTAGCACTGGTTCCTGTGAATTGGTCTTGCACTGATTTGTATACATTAGTCTTGCCCCGATAGGTTTAAGTAGATCTCTAGTCTAATTTGTGTAAATTGCACTGATGCATGTTAATTGGTATAGCTGCTATATGTAAATTTGGCTTATTTATACATTAAACAGATCATGCAATGACTCATGTTATTTGGTCTTGCACTGATTAATGTAAACTTGTCTTGCACTGGTTCATGAATAGTGGTCTTTCACTGATTTTGTAATTTGGTCTTGCACTGATCCATGTAAGTTGGTCTTGCACTGATCCATGTAAATTGGTCTTGCACTGATCCGCGTAAATTGGTCTTACACTGATCCATGTTAAATGGTCTTTCATTGTCAGATTTGTGTATTTTGGTCTTGCACTGATCCCTGTAAATTGGTCTTGCACTAATCCATGTAAATCAGTCTTGTACTGAGCCATGTTAATTGGTCTTGCACTGATCCATGTAAATCTGTCTTGCACTGATCCATGTAAATTGGTCTTGCACTGATCCATGTTAGTTGGTCTTGCACTGATCCATGTAAATCGGTCGTTCACTGATCCATATTAATTGGTCTTGCACTGATCCATGTAAATCGGTCTTGCACTGATCCATGTTAATTTGGTCTTGCACTGATCCATGTAAATCGGTCTTGCACTGATCCATGTAAATTGGTCTTGCACTGATCCATGTTAATTGGTCTTGCACTGATCTATGTAAATCGGTCGTTCACTGGTCTTGCACTGATCCATGTTAATCGGTCTTTCACAGATCCATGTATATTGGTCTTGCACTGATCCATGTTTATCGGTCTTGCACTGATCCATGTAATTTGGTCTTTCACTGATCCATGTTAATTGGTCTTGTACTGATCCAGGTAAATTTTGCTTGCACTGATCCATCTAAAATGGTCATTGGTCTTGCACTGTTCAATGTTAATCGGTCTTTCACTGATCCATGTAAATTGGTCTTGCACTGATCCATCATGTAAAATGGTCTTTCACGGTCAGATTTGTGTAATTTGATCTTGCACTGATTAATGTAAGCTTGTCTTGCACTGGTTCATGTATGGTGGTCATTCATTGATTCATGTAATTTGGTCTTGCACTGACTTTTGTAAACTGGTCTGACGTTTAATTATGTTAATTTGATTTGAATATCATCGTTTCTTTGTATGTTCTTTACGTCGATTTTATCTCCTTTTTGGTTATATCTAGGCAACCGGTTTGATTTCCTGAATAACTAACCATTTATTACAAGTGTCTTCGCAAGTGACAGACTACTAACCCAATTCAGTGGTATGAAACAAATGATCATAAGTCTAAACGTCAAAAAGAGTTTACTAAATATTTTCCAACTATTGCTTAAACCCAAACTAATGATCATTGCAAAAACTTACATTTGAGAAATCTTTATACAGTGACGTTGAAGGTGTGACGTCAATTCCAGTAAAAAGTATACGAGCATACATCAGGAACGTGTTCAACCCTTCATACGAATAATAAAAATCCCCTAGAGTGGCGTCAGTATTATTCAGCGTAACCTCCGTTACAGTTCCGTGTTTATCAGTTGCCGTGACATTTTCTGTAGTAGCGCTGTATCCGAGCATTACAGGATTGTCCATAAATGACTCTACCGGAGACAATATGTGAAAACTAGCGGTGTAGCTTGGAGAACTGTCGGGATTATTTAAGTATAAAATGGCTACTCCGACAGGGAAGTTTGACGTAATATTGTATGTCACAGACGGGTCTGTTACCAGTTCTTTTGAATCTCCACGTGACAGAAGGACATAAATGCCGTCAAAATCTCCATGAATTTCTAAAACAGTGTTATTGCTATTTGCCACAATCTTAATTTTAGCACGCATCTCTCCGTTTTCACTGAAGCCAAATGCCGGCGTAATGTAACTGGTTCCCCAAGTTTTAGTTGCTGGAACCTGGAACCAAGTCATACCAAATTCGGATCCAGCGTCTGTTCCACAAAACAACGCAAAGGGTTTGTTTCCGGTGAAGAGAGTTCCTGTTTGAAAGGTTGAAAATGTTTCTGAAAATGATTTAAACATATCTCGAGTCAAAATCTGACTTCCTGTGTAAATATTTACGCTGGTTCCCGGTTCTAAAGACGCAACCGAGCAGTGCAAATCGGAAGAACCAAATGAAATTGTCATGTATTCATTTCCAACAGCGTCCAAGGGTTGAAGCAGACGTGAATTTACACCATTCGGTTCGAAACTAGAGTACACAATTGAATCATCCTCAGCAAAAATGTACACTGGACTGGTAACATCAGTTACAAGAAAACTGGAGTAGGAAACATTTGTGACGTCATCGACAATCGTCTCAGCTTTGGAGGTTAGGAATCCACTTCCGCTTTCGACACCTGTGTCAAATAAAAAAATGTAATACAGATCTATGTTAACTGTGAACCTCTAAAAATGTTTTATAAGTATATGGCATTAATTTTGGTATGTGCTAAGCATAATAAGATATAAGCACATCTCAATATTTCTCGAATGTAATCCCTTAAAAATGAAATAAATCCGAAGCTTTTATGTGAATGTTTTAAAATGGAATAAAATATACATAGCTTAATTCTATGATTATTGAGAGGAAAGTTTTAACATTCAAGTCAGATGAGTACGGTTTAAAATTCAATTAAGTTAATTGTTTAATCTAGCGTCTGCAAAAATGGAAAAGGATTTTATGGTCTTTGATCCTGAGCGGCCATATATACAATTAACAAGACCATTTCTACCCGTACCCCGCCTGCCCTTAGCCAATGAGATGATAACAAAATGGATGACAAAGACCTCGCCCGCCATGTTTTTGACGAGTTGCCTGTAGAATTTAACTACTATCTTCATGTGAAACATGAAACCAGTGCTTAGGGCTTTAGTTTCGAGCTTTAGTAAAAGTTGCATATAAGACTTCGTTATAAAAGTTTCCGCAGAACGAGGTCAATTTTTATCACGCGGTTATGCAAGAATACATATCTAAGCTTTTGAATTTTCCGTACAGGACAGCAACTATATTCCAACTGCGGGCAACATGAAGTTTGGTCGAAATCTGCCTTCATATTTAGGGGGAAAATCTTAAGAAATTATTGATTTTTTGTTGGGTTTGGTTACGACGCACCAACACAGTAAATGTCACATGAAGATTTTCCAGCTTTCTTGTTGGGAAAAGACCTCTGGTGGCCTTCCATGCGTTATTTCTGGCACGAGCTCGCACCAGAGTAGAACGGCAATGTTCCGTAAACTAGCTAGATAGCTTCATTACATGAAAGAATCCGTGTCGGGATTTGAACTCACAGCTATAAGGGGCAAGTGGTTTGAAGTCAGCGTCTTTATCACTCAGCTATTCTATAGCTAATTTGACAATTTTGGCCAAATATGTAAGCCAAAACTTCATAGATGATTGTAAAATATAACATACCAATACGCGGTTCTTCTTGGTAAGATCCAACAATTTTCAAATACTGTGTATATAAAGCAGACGTCCAAGGCGCCGGATGATAAACAAACATTCTCCCATGACTATCTGGTGAACCTGGTACATGAAGATAAATTTAGTTAAACGAATAAGACTTGCTTTGAAGAACTTACACATCAAATTCAATGAAATGACCACTCTTAATGTACGAAATGCTGCAGGCAAAAAATTTCCGATTCCAATGGTACATATTTTATCAAAATAGCCATTTCTACTATTCCCGATAAGCTTGCAGAAATTGTGACATATTTTCATCATAGAAAAAAAATCTATTTTACGTGTTCACCCATCCTGTGTTATTTTAATAAATTATACTCAGAATACAAAATTGTCTGTTTGTGCTTGTGTTTAAGCACTATGTTTAAGTAAGCTGTCCTTAAGAACAATGCTTAGGACTAGAAACAATGTAGTTTAGGTTCAGCAGGTCTTTCTGTACTGCAGAAATTTTTAAAGGGAATTCGATATCATGTGAACCAAGTATTCATTCGAAAATGGTTTATATAACATGTAACACAAAGTACTGAAGTCGTAAAAAAACTTACATATGCCGCAAAACAGTTGACAATTTAGGTTCACCCATTCAGTGTAACTTGGGTTAGTACAAAGGTCGTCCGGATATTGGTTACAGTTTGCTACAGTATCCTGACAACGCCAATCTATAAATAGACAATAAAATGACATTTTAGCATGTCAAAGGTCATGTCAAAATTTTGATTATGCTTTGGCATTGACTAATATTTTTATAAAGTAAACAAACGTTGACAGAAAACAAACAAACAAAAACAATGACTGGTTCCTTAATCTACTTAAATAGAATATAGATTATATGTCATATGTTGCGGTTCGGATCGGATCGGTATATCCGTCCCGAGGGGGCCCGCTTTTGGGCGATAACTAGGCTTAGCACAATCTGTCAGAAACTTGGTGGTGAGGTTAAAATAATAAATATTAAGATGAAATTGCTCTACCACAGTATAGAACCTGACCAGACTACACGGATGTGCCGGCTGGCCTATCCCTTTTCTGATGGCAAAAGTAAGTGGCAAAATATAGTCACGACGAGTGGCGGCGAGGCCGAGTGGTCAATGCGTCGGACACGTAATCCAAGGGTGCGTGGGTTTAAACCCAGTCAGGTTCAAGCCGTTGTTTCTGTTAGCAAGAAATTTTACGCTCATTTTAAAATACTTATTGGTTACAGGAACGGATTCGGGAGTGTTTTAATTAGGTTATAGCTTCCAACACAATCAAACTAAAATAAACTAAAAGCTTGTTAATTTCGGTTCAAGCATGAAATTAAACCAAAATACAATTTTTATATATGCAATAAAATCACTATTGGGGTTTTAGTTAAGGATATGATCAATTTGCAAAGATGGGTATTGGCGGGGATTTTACAGTCCTGCAGATCTACTACCGAGGTTTGATAAATTAATCTAAAATGTAGAAGTTCCGGATAAAAGAGGTACCCAAAGGGAGAAGGTTGCCATGCTTACAATTGATAGGTACAATAACATATTACAACAGATATATACATCTCTTAAAGACTTTTTTGTATTAACATACCTGACGCGAACTTTCCACAATCTGTCCTGTACATATCTGAAACATAAAAAACATGTACAGATTCCATTTTCAACAAACTCACATAATGTAATATAAAATATATCACAAAAATAAAAGATTAAGAGCTCTAAATCAATTTTATTTCATAATAAAAAGTGTCTTTTTTTACAGACCCAGTTATGTAATAGGAATGTTTTTTTCCTTCGTATCAATTTTACTAAATATTCAATATTTATTCATCAATGATTCAATAAGAGGAACTACATAAGTTTTCTTTCGTTCGAATCCTTTTCAATTTTATGTAACAATTATATACATATAAAATGTAATGTATGTAAAATATTGAAATAAATATGTTTAAACTAATAAGATGATACCTACTTTTGAAATAAAAACATACATGAATGCATACACTAAACTACACCAAAAATAATACTAGACCATACTGTAGAAAATTTATACAAGGGAAGGCACTAAGCAGAGGGAATCGGAACGTCCTTGGCTATTATCTATAATAACCTCGGAAACAATACGGATTGAAAGTAGTTCTACCACGTGTTTGCAGATGTAAGCACAAACAGAGAGTGTAATCTTCAATAATGTAAAACGAATGAATATATTTGACAACCAAAGGAAATTAAAGTAAGATTGAGTACAATTATGATTGAAATCAAGTTTGACAACCATTTTTAATTTGAATATAACCTCTGATGTACAATTTTAAACAAAACCGACTTAAATCCAACAGGTTGGCATTTTGTACTTTCGGTTTCTACTTCCATAATAATAAGTATATAAATGATGTATTGTTTACTATTATATGTATGAATTCACTAATTGCAGGTCGACATTTACATGATATATTGTACATGTATAAAAACTTGTCAACAACACCAAGCATTAAATAACTACTAGTATTTGTTTACATGTTTAGTTTCTCAGCGTAGGTTAGACCGAAATACCGTTTCCGTTCTGTGTATTCATACTATAATTGTGTTCAATGTCCTTATACGAAGACTGATGGAAAGGGCCGAAAAATTGCGATTGCAGACAGAGGTAGTTGTCCCGTTACCATGGTTTATTTAAAATATTGCGGAAAAAATGTCGTCCATGTCATCAAACTGACATTTATCAAAATTAACCATTTCATATTAACAAACATACATTCACCATACCACACCATACCACACCAAAAATTACCTGATTAAATTAATGCCATACTGCAGAAATTTAAAAAACACTTACTGTGATGACTGACACTTAGTACACACCCACGAGGTGGAGCTATTTAGATAGTTGTTTTTAATATGTTGTGTATATCATGTATTATAAAGAGACTTACAGTGTATGTACGAATGTAAAACAATAAAGCTGTATATTATAAGCTATGGTGTTGATTTTGATAATCCTCAAATAAACAGAATGTTACAATGGCGACGAGTAATGGAGACAAAGTTTAAAAACAAAAATAAAACAAATGAGGATTAAAACAAATATTCTGATCTAGAAACAATTGGAATAAATCAATTTTAATTCCTTCAAACAAATGGAATTAAAAACAATTTAAGTGTGAAAATAAACAGAATGAATGATCTATAGGGTTGTAAGTCAAAAGGGCACATCTGTGAAGGTGATAAGTACAAGTGGCAACATTTATTACAGGAATGTAAGTCATGTAAAACCATACTTTGGATAATAATTGTGTTATCAAACAAAGGGTGTGCTGACATTAGAAGTTGGATTATAGTGTTATATTTATCTAATAAGCAATCATTATAGTGTTATATTTATCTAATAAGCAATTAGTTTTCTAGGTGTTCATATTAGAAGTAGATATTATTAGTTTATGAATTTATACCGTGAGAAACTATTCAAATCAAGGGAGGATGTGATGACTGACACTTAGTACACACCCACGAGGTGGAGCTATTTAGATAGTTGTTTTTAATGTTATGTATATCATGTATTATATAGAGAATTACAGTGTATGTACGAATGTAAAACAATAAAGCTGTATTTATAAGCTATGGTGTTGATTTTGATAATCCTCAAATAAACAGAATGTTACACTTACCATACCATATAGTAGCATTATTCATCAATCCACTCACTCTTAAACTAACTAAACCTGCCGACAAGGGCATTTCAGTGATAATACCGGCGCATACGCCATTGAAATTTCTTCTTCCTATGTCCACACAAAATTTATTTTGGCTCTGCATTACCCAGTAGGATATTACGTCACTGAAAATGTAAGACATACATTTAGGTCAACCTCAGTCGTATTCAATCGAATTCAAGTTTTAAATAATGCCTCATTCATTAGAGTCAAAATTCAATCTGATCTTCGGATATTATGCTTCGCATATAATAAGGCAAAATTTTGGAACTACTTTCAGTCGCATTGTAAAATGGCATCTTTGTGGCAAAAATGATAGAGATATATTTCTTATATACAGTGGCAGAAAGAATAACTGCAGTAATATTTTGAAATTGATAACACACGTTGTCAATTTCCCTTCTAAACAAAGCATAGAAAACGTTTGAAGAAGTTACATAAGAATTTCTTTTTCTTGCGAACGAACACTGCCTTATAACCCGGGCGTATTGCGTTTATGTAGTTACGTTCTACGTACGAGGACTCCAATCGGAAATTAACGGGAAGAGCCGGTGTTTTACGATTTGGTCAAAGTGCTTTTACCATTGGCGCCATACCACTGAAGATTTTAATATGTAACCAATGAATAGTATTAAATATCATGCCATTAAATGTATTGAGAAATCATGTGAAGAAACTATCTAGCTATCAGGAAGTTGGGATTGATTAAGTCGATGCTTGACTGCGCCTGAAATAACACACGAAATTCAATGGCTTCCTACGTTTACATTCCATACAAAAGTTGTTTGATGACCTGTATTGTACCTTAATATGTTCAAATTATGCTTCAATCTGGGCAACACCTTGTATCATTTAGGGAAGCTTTGAAAATATTAATTGACTGAATAACAAATTGTTCAGGCAAGCTTGGTGGTCGCCAGGATGTATTCAGTTGACACCAGAAGGCTGGATACTCGAAACATATCTTAGTATATAATGATGCTAAATGAAACCATAATGGATTCAAGAATCAATTCGTTTTTGTTTACTTTCTTTTAAAACTTAATAAAAATGGCACCAAACGGCACTCGATATGGCCTTACTGATATGGCCTTACTGCGACCGTGCGTTTTCGGATTATAAGTTCTTGATTTCATCCAGTTCTAAACAATTTGAATTACTTATACCTTGCTAATATACTGATTTAAAAGAAAAATGTAAGATAAATGCAAGACGGTATTATTAAACTAAACAATGCCAAGTATTGTTATATTTACTGTTTACAGTTCGTCAGATCTAGTATGTCGCTTGTGTTCACTTTCTTTATGACGTCACACTTCGGAAAACATCTGTAAACGATTATATGTGACCAAGATATGTATATAATGAACTTTCCTGGGGCAGTTTCAGATAGTTCAATTTGCACAGTTTCGCATGTCTGAACCCGGAATAACAGCTCATAAAAATCGGTGACGTTTGCCGTATACGCAGGTATTTCATCAGTCACGCCAGGAATAAATGTTGACGTAATCTTTGCATTTTCTATAAATACAAGAATTTGTAACAGAGTTACAAACGTCCCCCGCCTCAGGGATTTTTTCTACGAAGCATAAAATTGTGCTATTTCAAAAGATTGAGGTATAGATCTCAAGACTTTCAGTTCAAACTTATGATCAATGCTAGATCTGCAAATGCAACAAATTATTAAAGAAATAAAATAAAACACGGAATTTAAAAATTTATCATGTTAAGCTTTGACCTCTAAGTGGAGATAGGGGCGCAGGTGTTATGCATGACATATCGTCTTATTATTGTAACTATTTGTGCCAAGTATTTTCAAAATTCCGAAGTTATAGTTCGGACACAAAATATACCCTATAACAGACTATGTAAATCTTTGACATCTAAGTGTAACCTTGACCTTGGAGGTAGGGACACAAGTGTTACACATGACATATTATCTTATCATTGTGACTATTTGTGCCAAGTATTTTCAAAATCCCTTGATTTATGCAGAAGTTATGGATATGACACAAAATATACCATATAACAGACTGTTAACCTTTGACCTCTAAGTGTGACATTGACCTTGAAGGTAGGGATGCAGGTGTTGTACCTGACATATCGTCTTCTTATTGTGACTATTTGTGCCTAGTTATTTTAAATCCCGAAGAAGTTCTTGATCGGACACAAAATATACCCTAAAACAGACTATGTTAATTTATGACCTCTAAGTGTGACCTCGAACTTGGAGGTAGGGATGCAGGTGTTGTGCATAACACATTGTCTAATTAAAGTGACTATTTGTGGCAAGTATTTACAAAATCTTTCGATCTATGAAAAAGTTATGGACCGGACACAAAATAAACCCAATAACAGACTATGTTAATCTTTGACCTGCAAGTGTGACCTTGACCTTGGAGGTAGGGAACCGGTTGTTGCGCATGACACATCGTCTCATTATTGTGAACAATTGTGGCAAGTACATCGTATTTACAAAATCCCTTCAAAGATAAGAAAGTTATGGACCGGACACGACATATACCCTCAAATAGACAATGTTGACTTGAATGAGCAAGTGAGACATTGACATTGGAGGTAGGGGTCTGATTGTTGCGCATGACACATCGTCTGATTATAAGAAACATTTGTGCCAAGTTATTTCAGATTCCTTTGATAAATGAAAAAGTTATAGACAGGACACGAAAGTGTGACGAGACGGACGGACAGACAGACGGATGTTCTAACAGGAGAGTAATCCGGTTGCTACTCTATTGTTTTCTCTATTGTTCTTTTTAGCCACACAAAAGAAAATAGCCACATAAAGCATTTTGGAATAAATGACATCAAAGAGAAAGAACAGTCACCTATTGTCCCTCTAGCCACATGTATTGATACCAACAGATTGTGAACAAGAATGCTCTCTTATAGCAAACAGTCGGTCATGCTGCCTAACCTAACCAATCAGAAAACTGTTTGCAAAATATGTTGCGATGTAGATCGCCCGTGACCTCGATCTTTGACCTACTAATCTCACAATCAAAAGTGCCAATATACCGCTGATAGGTCTTTGTTGCTGTTGTTGTTGTTTTGTTTTTGTTGTTGTTTTTTGTCAAAGTTATATTAACAACAGTTACTGTGACCTTGACATTTGACCTAATTACCTCAAAATCTATATGCTCACCTACTGGTCATAACTAATCTCCAAATCAAATATGAAGAAAGAAGGGCAAAGCTGTCTTACTTTTTCTTTTTTATACCTACATAGAAGATAAAGCGAAACATTTGATGTAGATCTAAGTCTAACTTACCGAAGCAATAATCTTCGTCAACGTTCCCATCACAATCATTGTCAATGCCATCCCCGACACTTGACCTGTATACGCTTGTACCACACGGCGTCCCAGTCAGCTAGTCAATGAAACCGTCATTTCACTTAAAACTTCAAAGTGTTTGTTTGTTTGTTTAATTAAATTAGAGTTTACGTCACATCGACACAGTATACGTCATATGGCGACGTTCCAGCTTAAAATAGTGGTAGAGAAAGACCTCAAGTGCCCATCCGTGCATTATTTCAGACACGAAAGGACAACTGAGTAGAACCACCGACGATCCGTAAGCTAGCTAGATAGCTTTCTAACATGAAAGAATCTAAAGTCCCTGTCGGGATTCGAACCCACAGCGGTAAGAAGACATTCAATTTAACTATTCTAAAAGTTTTTCATAACATAATGGCTATAAGTGAATCAACATAATGGCTATAAGTGACATCATGGCTTTAAAAAGCCAAAATATACAGTTTATTTTATGACGACATACATGTACTTACAATTAATGGAGGACTCAGCGGAAACACGGCATAGTTAATCATAACAATGCCGCCAAAGGGAGCATTCTGACCTGTTTTGATCAACTTGTCGGAAACTGATAATGTCGCCGTCTGGTTCAGTGAATTGACCTGATAAGGTGTATACGGTACCTGCAAAATAAAAATACAACTGTTACAGTAACTGTTAGTGTAATAACATATTCTTACCAAGGTTCAACATGAACGAAAATCATTTGATATTATTATATCTCGTCTGGACGAACGAAACAAAATGCTTAGTTTGGCCACATGAATTAATTTTAAAGGTAGCATAATTAATTGTTCAGAAAATGTGTTTCTTATCATGCGATGAAAGTTTCTACAAACAACAATAAAGGTCGTAAAATTTAACTATGTGCTGCTTTGCAAGTTTGCAGATAACATAAAGCATGAAGAGGGACCTGCCAATTTTCTTATGGGGTCATATCAAGACATTGGCAGTGTTTGCATGGTTGATAACCAGAAAAAAACAACAATTCAATTTAATTAGAAAGTTTTGATATAAACAATATGACAAATACCTTTGTAATTATAGGATCGCCTTGGCACGGCACGGAGTCGCCATTACTTAACACATACTGAAAGAACGTTGGCTGGTTGTTGGCGTTGTGGACGTATGACGTCAGAAAGTGTTCAAAAGCCGGTACGGTTGTCATGCCAACTGAATATATTGGGTCGTATGATCCGAAAGTGATTCCAACATAAATAATGACTTGTACAGGTTTTGTTGACTTTATATAACTAACTGTAGATTCCTCAAGCCTCCTTTTCAAAGTCTGGCCATTTCCGGTCATCTCCACAGTTTTAAAACCAGACATTTCAACAAAGGTTTTTGGCTCACTAGACGTGATGTGAATCACAACTCCGTATGCAGTTTCAAATCCTCGGACTATGAACTCTGTCCCCCAATGAGGAACCGGCGTAAGCTGTTCCATGAAGTGTAACAGTCTGGTTCCATCAGCAGGCATTGAGCGGGTACCGGCAATAACGGAAACTGGTTTGTCAGCGTAAATGAATGTGCCTATTATAAACACAAAAAGAACAGAAAACATTATAGTGATTCGTATGTTGTTGTTGTCTTTCTTTTCAGAAATAATTCTATGTCAATAAACAATGCAGTGTAATAATTCATCAAAACCTATGTTTCTCCAAGAACAATACCATTAAAAAGAAAGTTACAAATAATAATAAAAAAATATTAGTCACCAAATGTTGGAGTTTGAAACACATGAATATGTATATTTAGTGAAACAAAAGGCAAAGTTGATAACGAAAAATAGCAATAAAAATAAAAATGATAAAAAACGATATCTCATGTGAAATTTTTAGGAAGACCATGTCATAACAAAATCGTTTGTTTGATTTACGCTGATATCAGCACCTTTTTGTCATATTTTGGCGGTCGGTCAGCCGAACTAACTATCCAGGCAAGTGTCCAAATGATTTCTGACAATGAGTGGAAAATGACCATTGGTCAGATGTCCAGTTTTCAGATCGAACCAGCAATATCTGGATTACAAATCCTATGATTCTCACATTAAGCTCAGCATATGGACCTTGATAAAGATACTAAGCTAGGAACCAAAGAAACAAACAGAATCTTTTTTTTTAAAGTTTCCCAAGACGACTTTGGTAAGTTAAAGCCTAAGTTCACCATTACTGGCTAGTGTCCGATTTTCTGGTATGTAAAAATATTACTAATGCTAAGTAATGACATAGCAGAAAAATTAGCTGTCCGGCATATACCGGTAAATGGATGGCAATTAGCACGTAAAATTAAACGGAAGTCAATGCGAAAACAAACAGCGTACGGCAGAACTACGGTAGAAAAATATCTTTATTGTTTACTTAAAGAACCCTGTTCAGTCAAATATATTAAACTTTATGTCAAAATATTTGCTTACCTGTTAAGTCGTGAGTTGTTTCGATTTGGATAGTTTCCGGGAAAGTTAGATTAAATGACGTATGATATTTGCTTCTCCATGACTTCTCTCCGACACAGATCACAACTTCGTCAACTTCGCTCGGAAGCTTGATGTACACGCGCGTCAAGCCCGGTGATACAGAAGCAATAGCCACCTGACAAAATCCCCCTAATGCACAGAATGTGCTGACGTAATACTCATTTCCGATTTCAGATGTAGCTAGGGCGGCATACCCTTCGTCATATCCATTTTTCTCGTACACAATATGCAAATTGAAACCGTTACCTAGAGTTTCAACAGTAATAGATTTGTTTGCAAGCTCTGACCGATTTAGTAGAGACCCTTCTTCAAAGTTTTCCATAGCGACAAACTGAACTGTGTTTTTGTAAATGTTGTTTCTTGTTACTGTTTGAACGACAGAGTCGTTGTTTAATGTAGTGGACACCGTATCAATCGTATTTGGACCAGGATTTGCTATCATGAAAGTGATTTTCACGTTTGTTTCTGTACCATCACCACCTAACCCTAGCGAAGGTAAGATATAAATGTTACCAGCGCTTCGTGTACCTGAAATGAGGAGAATAAACATCTAACTGAATAAACAAAGTGAGTTTTTTGACAACAACAAGAGAGTTTTATACTCAAAGGTTTTTTATTCATGATAAAAATTCTGCTCTTTTTTAGTTTGATTCATGAATGCAAGTCTACCAACTTTATCTACTTGCGATTGTATACTTACACACAACTATAATGGATAATTTAAGTTACAAAGTTCAAAACGATCTAACGATTTTCATTAAGCTTTTTACCAATTTTTATTCTCATAAATTAAGTATTCAATCTTGTCAACATTTTGTTTAGCTTTGTATGATCGAGTAAGTTTGATACAGCAAGGAAAAAAGGGTCCAGATCTGTTTCTTTGCGAACATGGAACCAGACATAAATTAGTAGTATCTTTATAACTTTACATGGATTTTTTATTTTCTAATTTTAATCATTTTCTTTCTTTTTTTGAACGAATGAAAATAAAATCAGCAGATATCTTTCATATGATTACCTTGTATAAGTGCCAATAGAACGAATATCCTTATTCCTAATTCCATTTTTCTTTTGTAACGCTATCCCTGAAATGAATGGGATAATTAAAAAAAGGTAACTGTATTTTTATGATGACGCAGCATGAACACAAATGCGGATGTTTCTAAATTCAAACTTTCTGTATAAGCTGGTGCTATGGGGCATGAACGGTAATTTGCACATTACCGTCCATGAACAGACTCAATCAGTCTGAGTCTGCAATATGTTTGTTGTTTTGTGCGTTCTTTGCGGATTCTGTTTTTTTTTATATTACATAAACACTTTAGGGCATACTTGACAGAAAAGCTTTGCAGAGGAAATTTTTTTTAAAGATAAACAGACCCAATCACGAATTTCATAAGTATCTCTGTTGGAGATGTTTGACAGTTTCGAAGACAACAACCAAAATTAAAATACATATACTTCCATGTTTTCCTTTGTTATTTTGAATTTATAACATTTCATCCTTAGTATATATTTTTGTTTCATCATCGTCAGTAATATTTAAATGGTTCTTACATTGGGAACTTAGTTTTTAAAAAATAAGTGATAACTTAACTGACACAACATGTATAGAATAAATCAAAATAATTTTAAAAAAAAGAAACTCATCACAATAATTGAATAAAGTTATTATACTTACTTTATATACAATTTTCCTGAAAAGTCTGGAAGACAGCTTCAGAAAATAGTTCTCTTGTCTCTCCAATTATGTATTCTTGCACCCGGTTATGATCTTAGGCCAATAAAATCTATGAAACCATATACGCATATACGTCAGCTCTTTTTAAAGTTTTGTTTCATTATCGCCCCAAAAAATACTGATACAAATGGTACACAATGACATGTAAGTTTGTTGTATGAATTTTTACCCTGTGAAGATTGTTTAAGTAGTCCCCTGATTTATATTAGCAAAATAAAATTGTTATTTTTTGTTTCAAAATATTGAATAGACCATAAACCTCATACAATTATTTAGCATGGCCTAAATGCATTGATACCATTTTAATGGCCATCGATAAACGTTCAATAAATTCTAATTTGTTTTAACACAAAGATTCTTGATAAAACCGTCATGTTTCCATTTAAAAGTCGATTTCCCTTTTATTTAAGCGGGGCTATTTACTTTTCGCGGCTTTACATATTCACACAATTGGAAATCGTCGAACTTCCGGCAACAAATAAAATTCTTGTTTACAGTTCGCAAGTTTCTAATGGATGTCGTAAAATTCAACTTTTCGGTCAATATACTTATGTGAATCTTATTTCATGAGGTTTCAAATGATTATTTGTAGAATATTTTTATTCGGAATCAGCCTTCAAAGTATGTTACATAACGGAAATCTCGTCAAGAAAAGAGTTTAAAGGTTTCGTGAAATGGAGTGCATTCTGACATCGTGATAACGGCCGACTTTTATTAAGTAGGTGTACTTTTTCCCTCCGAGAATCAAAAATCAATCATAATATCAATTATAAATCAATAATGTTGCCTCATATTTAACTCAAAGAAATTTTAAAAAGTCGTTAGTAGTTTGCGACTAACTATTACTTAATCTAACAATATTATAACTTTTGTTGCAAGGCCTTGACATTTAAGAAAACGAGTGGTCTGTATGCATCATAAGGGTTAAATAATTATGTTCAGAAATTAATTAATTAATTGATTGATTAATTAATTTGTTTATGATAGATTTACGTCATTTAAACTGATTTCCACCGCGTAACGTCGTATGCAGTGTTCAAGTGTTTATGATTTACTGAAATGTTGTGCAAATATGTATGTGTTTCCTATAATCATCACATTTATTTACGGCGAAGCGTATTTCTATCGAAATTCACATTATTTATGATACATGTATATTCTTTTAATTCGCATTTAAATGAAGTTCATCTACTATGAAATCATTAAAAAAGAGTCACTGTAAAATTATCGAAATATAATGTCTCAGCATGCAAAAAGTCTTATAAGAAATATTTACTCTAGATATAGGCGAAGACGTGTATCAATCGCGCTGGTAGACAGCCCCTCGAGGAGCAGTGCGCACGTGCAATTTCCTCAAAGAACATAATAATCGAATATATACGCTATATACAGTCAGTCAATCTAGTGGGACAGCACTCCTCTGCAGCACACTGTTATAATCTAAGTTGTTAGTAAAAAGGAATATTCCATATTTATACATACAATATTTGCGTTTATATTTTAATGGGATATTGCCATGTAATAATTATCTTTGGTCTTTTGACATTATTGTCAGTTATTTATAGATGTGCATTGTAACGGAAGACGTGTCTTTCTTGTCTTTAATATCTCTGCAGGGCAAAAGATGCAGCCACATTCGATCAATATTAATTATTCCATGAGACAGCACTGCGATATTTATGAATGTTAGATCATATGCCAATTTCCTTTCATCTGGACGAACGTTTTTTAGAAGATTGTAAAATTTTCTGGTGTTTTGCACCTTTATTATTTTTAAAGTGCTTTTATAATTATTGGTGTCTCTTTTATTGTTTGCGCATTGATTAATTTCCAAGCACTATATTCGTATTTCTTTTATTGCCATAAATTGATTGTAGTTAAAATATTCATTATATATCTATATGATACAAGTTTAATGTTGATGCTGCACATCAAAGACGCCGCCAAATGATGTGAACAGTCAATCAGCATTGAAAATCGTTCTCTATTAAAGATGAATATCCGAAGCACAAATCAATTTTTTTCTCCATGTGTTTGGTATGTGCTCGTTGTTTAATAATAAAGTTGCATATTTTTGTGAAAATGTAGAACCTAATGCATAAATTCACAAATTAATGCCATGTCTGAAATACTAAAATGTTTTTTTCTGTTGCGACAAAGATTGAAACGTCTGGTCGAAGCAAAACAAATTGGATAACAAGTAAAATTGAAATGATTGGTATACTTAAAATGAATTCAAGACAATATGTGCCGAGAATGATTTTGAGGACGAACTGTTCTGCAGTGATCTCCTCTTACTGGTCGTAGCGTAACGAGTTTACTGTTGCGGAAGAACCGCCTCTCTGATAATGGGCGTGGTTTAGGCTTTGTGACTTGTAATTTTCATCATTCGATCAAAGTTGTCCTGGTTCCCTTCTGCCCCGTCAACGAAGACTTAATGCTAGCATACGGAGCATTTTTTAAATTTTTGCGACAATTTATGGCGGAGCCGAACTTCAACAGAGGCGGAGCAAATGAAGTAAGTGACACTGCCTCAGTCGTAACCTCTTTCAACGGTTAAGTTTTAGAACGATCGACTATAGACTGGCTCATTGGCACGTTATTTATTATGTAAATAAAAATAGATAATGATAAAAAGAATATGATATTAAACATGGCATTATCATTTCAGTTAGACGTTTATTCAAATCCCATAAAGCTCCGTTTTATTAGAAAATTTGGGAACAGTGTGATTTTGTTAAAACCAAAAAAAATACACAAAACAAAGTCTTAAATTTTCCCCAGCAAGCGGCGTCTAATAATCAATAAAGGGAGGTAATTCCATTCTTTATAAATATTCGTCTGTTTTAAATGGCATACACTTGCATGATATTTTTATTGGATGGAAAATATGCTGTTATTGTCAACGGCATAATGTAAGATATTATGATAATTTTCACTGTGAAATTATCAAATATAATTTTCACGGATAAATAGTATTCCTCTCAAAGGCATAAAATAAAATGTTTGAACACAAAATCGACCAGTAAAATCATATTTTATATACACGTCACAATATGGTATTCAAGGCATGGATTTATTATCCTTAAATGAAATAAATAAAGAAAAGTAATAAGATGATTTAGAATTTCAGTCAAATGATAAATATTTATCGCATTTACAAATGTATAATAGTGGCACATTCAAATTTTGCTAAATAAGTCAACGTAAACAATCAAGCATATCTATAGTATATAAAAATAGGCATTTTATCATTTACAAAGCATACAAAAAATAACATGTGTATAACATGTTTTCTTATTTCAACATTTAATACTTTCAAATATACTTAATATGCATTGGTCAATTGTATTTATGTCCCTCCATCTCTGGGTGCATTGACTTTCGGACTTTCAACCCCTGGTAAAGATTTCGTTCACCAAAATCGCTTTACTGCGCTTGGGACATACCAACGGTCTTCATGGCGCCAAAACAAAAACCAATGAATTGACCTGACATGGCTGAGGCAGACGAAAGGTAAAAAAACTCGGTCCATTTCCGGCACAATTCCGCATATTTCCGGTAATAATTGACAGTTGCATTATAACATCATATTTGTACCTATAATGGTACATTTTTAACAGAACATTGTCGAATCTTCGGCAAGAAAATTTTTAAAAAAGGAAAAAAAAGTTAATATGTAAAAATATATGTATTTTAATGTATCTCCTCTACAGAAGTTGTTCATTTTCGTCCTCTTGAATCAAAATTTTTGTATTCCCGTTTAGTTCATCATCTGTGGAATAACTCGGATTTGTAACACCGTCAGAAATTTCTGCATTACCTCCCTTTAATAGAGATGTTTTACTACTGTCCCCGTTTCTTGGAGTGCTCGAACATGATGAAGAGTTATTTGATGGGCTAGGTGGCGCGCTGCAAGTCACGCCCACAACAAGTCCGTCATCGTGCTTGCTCATGCGCACTCGTATTTGATCTTGATTGACCTTGACCTTGTCTTTCGTATCCGAATGTCCATTTGATTGAGATTTACGTAACTTGCTCACTGGGATGGGCCCATGTTTTCTGCGGCTATTTTCCCTATAAAACATCTGAGGTCGCGGTATTCTCGTCAGGGTAAAGTCAGATAATTTAAGATTCACGTGCGGCACGTCTCTGAGGTGAAACGTCGTGGTACGTTTTCTGACGTAACACTCGCGGCATATAACTATTACCATCATCAGTACGAGAACGGCAAACAGAAAAGAAGCAATACTAATGATCACTATATCCACAACTTCTAGACCTGACCTTGCCACCTCCAGCCCATCTATATCGCTTGAACTAAGTTTTACAATTTCGAGATTTATTGCAGTGAAATTCAAGACATGTGTGCTTTGAATTATAGGAACAATAAATTCTGACGAAGCAATTATCTTATCTAAAGGCTCGGATATGTGACTTATATTAAATCCCCTCGTTTCTGTACGCAAATATACACGTAAAGGCTCACAGAGTATTCTTTCTGCTTCTAAAGAGTACGAACTTAATTTAGTGGTTGATTTCACAACAGCCATTAAAGCTTTTAGAAACTCCATTTGTAAAACATCATTTTCACTTAGTATTTCACAATGTCCATCAAAGGTAAATATCATTCGATATATGTTATGGTCTTTTTCAACTGTTAGTCCCGTAGAATTTTCTGATGTCGTTTGAATACTAGTATGTGATGTTGATGAATGTCTATTTGTAGAAGGCCCCTCCGTCGTTGTTTGAGATGTAACTGATATTATGACTGACTGTTCAGACGTTGCCGTGGGTGATAAAGACGCACTTTGTGTAACTACTTGGCGTACCATATTGGATGTAAAAGAATTTGAAGGAATTATATTGTCGCTTTCTGCCGATGCAGTTATTAAAACTGACTGTGTCTTCATTCTAATGTCCAGTGTAGGTGTGTTATTAACATTTATACTACCCAAAATATCGCTTGCTAATATATTTGAACTAGGAAATGATGACAACTCAAAATGATGTTCAGATGAAGATGAGACAACAATTTTAGATGAATAAATAACACTTTCCGATGAATATAAATCAACGCGACTAACAGTATTTGGTACACTAGAGATGTTAACAGTTTCTGTCGTTGGAGAAAGACCAAATGAAGCATTAGACCCGAATGATGACGCTGTAGAAGAGGATATCCCATTTTGTAAAGATGACTGAACGGAAGAAGTAACGCCGGGACTTGATTCAGATAATTCCAATACTGTAATCATGGCTGATGACGGGGATGGTTCCAGGTCTGGTACAAACGTAGTTGAGATGTTTGCAAGAGAATAAACTGATTCCTTAAAATAGTTTGTTGTTGGTGAAGCCAAAACTGTGCTTGATTTTGAGACATTCATAACAGCGGTAGAAACATCATTTGAAATAAACATGAATGAAGTAGTAAAGTCTACATGAGGCGAGTGAAGTTCATCTGAAGAAATGGGAGCGGATATAGAGGACGTTGTTACATGAGATGATGCATCTTTTGCGTATGAAGATGAATACTGTATATCTGAGATGGCGGAGAAAATGTTTCCAGGTTCAGTCGATGATGGATGTAGAGAATCAGAAAATGATGTTAAACCTTCGATAGATGACTCTTTGGTCGACGTTAACCCGGTAACAGATGTTTGTGTAGTGTTTATTTGTTCAGATATAACTGTTGACGGTCTTCCATGTACTGTATCATTTACAAGCAACGATATAGATGCGTTTGAAGAATGTGTAGAATTTGTTTCAGTAATGCTTGAATGGTCAACTGGTGGACTGGTGAAACCTATAGATGCGGCATTCGACGTTATCCCGGGAAATGTATTTGACCATTTATTAAAACTGAAATTCGTGGTGGATGAACCAGGGTTCAATGTTGTGATGGGTTCGTTTCCTTCTGTTGTTGAATTTGCTGCCGATACGTTTTGTGTTGCAGTATTTACATTTTGTGAAACAGCAGTTGATGGAGAAAGATATGTTGTCGACGAAACAGAAACTAGTGCGAGGTCAGAAGGGCTGGATGAAACATCTGCTAAAACAGATTTGGATGGTTCAGTACTTTGAGATGAAAATGGTACAGTTGAGATCGATATGGATAATGGTGTTGTAGTTAAATCTGATGGTATAGAACTGGTTGTTGATACATTTATGTCTAAGTCTTGAATACTTGGTACAAGTGTGTCGGTCGTATTTACAGAATGTGATCTCCCTGAAAGTAAACAAAAAGGAGATATAAAGTGGTAATGATCTAATTACACATTTTCAGGAATCTAAAACACTGCATAAGTTCGAGCTCATTAAATTTAAAGACAGTTTGTTTATTGTTGGTATTTGATTGTTTTTCTGTTTTTTTGTTGCGGTTGTTTTCATGGGGGGATTGGTAGGTATTTTGTTTTTACGCGACTTAAAAACGATTGTCTTTGTATATAAAATATTATAAAATATAACAAAGAAATTTTAAAAATATTACAAATAATATTTCACAAACAGAAGTTTTAAAACACCTGACATTTTACTTTCTGATATTTTCTGATAAGTTTCAAAATCATCAAAGAATCAAATCTGAATCAACCTACCTATTAATGTGACGAGACAGAGGCTGTATACAAACAATTTCTCGATCGCCATAGTGATTTCTGCAAAACATAAAACAAGGATAATTTAAACTAGATATATAAGCGTTCAGCGGCTATTTACTGATGTTCTTACATTTGGATTAAAGTGGATTGGTCCACAATGATCACATTTTCCATAAGTAATACGTATATTGATAACAATGATAGAAAGTTACCATTTCAATATTTCTGAATAAATATTTCTTGAAAAAAAGTAATATAGTTATTATTGATTAAGTATGAACATTTATGAGTTATAATATTTTGTTTCAAAACAATCTACCATTATGAGGTTATTATACATTGTTGAGTACAATAACTGAATTCTATGGGCAAGTGTACAGCTGTCAGACCTATCTTGGACGAGGCACTAGTCAACTTTGATATAGGTTTTGCATCTGCGTACAAGTCCAATAGAATCGGTATTGTTCTCAGCAAAGTTAAATGACCTCTTTATTACACACACACCACCTTTTTAACATTTTGACGGAACTTTGATACTTCTTGTTATTTCAAGAACAATAAGAATTTGTTATCCATGGGTATTTGTACTCTCTTAACATTCAAAACGAGAAAAGATGAAGGAGGATAAGCATTTGATAAATATTGTTGGACTCTGGAAAAGAAAAAGAGGCTTTAAGTGATAAGACATTTGACAGTTTTTTCTGAACTCTGGAAATGAAAACAAACTTTAAGCTGAATTTTAAGACGATTTCTACTGAATACATCATATGATGCAAAAGGTGAAAGTTTATTGGTAATATTGAATAAGGTGTAAAACAAGAGCCCAGCCCCTTGAACCGGGTGATGTTCCCCGATTAGGTTTTTGACACAGGAAGGTATACCTCTTGTAGTGTTATTTTTTAAAAGTCCTATAATTTTGCCATTTTATAAATTTAATCAGCTTCATATATTTTTCATCATGTTTTTCTTAAACAACTGATGTTAAATGTTTCTACTTGTTCAAATAATACAAATGTATTACTAAACAATCCATTTGAATATTATGTAAAGATGAAGTTATTTTATATAAAGCACTGCTCTTGTTTCTTTTTCCGCAATTTAAACGACCTTTGCTATTAACGCTATAAATTTCTTTCATTTCCGCTGCTGTCCAATATCACAGACCTTGTATTCACAGATGACTGCGTGAGGCTGACAGTTAATTTGATTTCTGTATCTACAGAAAAGCACGACATTTCTGACGATAATACTGTCCGAGATTTTAGAAGACATGTTTTTGTTACTATGTCTTTGTTTGTTGTTGTTGTTGTTGGTGTTGTTGTTGTTGTCGTCGTCGTCGTCGTCGTTGTTATTTAGAAATAATATTTTTGAGATAATTAGGTTATTTCATCCATCAAGTGTTCGTGTAACTTACGTCTAACTTTTGTCGTCTGCCGTGTTTTAATATATACATTGTATGAAGATATATATATATTCTTAAAAGACATGGAAATAGATCGACAAGGACAAATCATGCCGAATTAATACCACCTTGCAATGGGCGAATACTTGAAACAATATACGAAAATAATACAATGTATAAAAGGTAATATCACGTAAAAATCAAAGTAACATTACAGCCAAACCTGTGTCAAAGGAAAATTCTGAATACAGTCAACATTTAATAAAGAACAAGCCACTAAAGACACCAGCCCATTTGAGTCCAGCTATACCATACAGACAATCATAAAGCAAAATTAGAAACATAAAGACAATGTGGCCATCTATACACAAAGACCACAATCTTTCTTAGTAAGTATGTTTCAATAAATAGTGGTCTTTTTATTATTTTAAAAGGCCCTTTCTTGAATATTTGTGTAAATATAGGCACATTTCTATTGATGATTATGTTATTCTGCACACGATAAGTTGTTTGGCAGGAAAAAAATATGCTATTTTGGATCATCCCTTGTATGCACAATATACAGGTTTGACTGTATATGAATAGCATCACAAAATTATGTTTAAATGAATGATATAAAAAGAGCTTGAATTTCCAACGTAGATAATTTATTAAATACATTCGTTGATTCTTACACTTTTTGATTGAAGCTTTTATAAAAGGCTTATATCAATTGCATTGCCCTCCCATTACCATTGCAAAAATACAGTCTTGAATCGAAAATAAAAACACCTTTGTACAGATATTAATAACGAATGAGCTTATTAAGTAAAAAAAATAATTATCGGTTATACAATTAAATACTATGCCAATGTACCTCTAGATCGAATAGTAGTGAGAACAATTCGAAATGTTAATAAATCTACGCTCTAAAATGACGTTGTTTTTTTGTATAATACGTATGAACGTGTACTTACTAATTTCTCGTAAAAATATCCCCCGAATAGTGATAGCATCAATTTTATTTATCAAACGCAGCTTACCAAAAATAGCCTTCACTGGAATATCAGAAAACAACACATACAACTTTTCTAAGCTTCGGCTAATTCCATTACATTTAATAACTATTTCTTCAATTACGTCCGTATTGCGATGTTTTCTGTTTTTATGCCACATTCGTAAGTGTATATATCCCTTTCCTAAGAGGTTTAGTCAATGAAAATTCCTCTAAGAGCAATAAATAAACGTGAAATCAAAGGCAAGCCTGGTAATTGTGTGACGACAACTTCCGGATAAAAGATGTAGGCGACTAAAATATCAGTTATTTGATGGGTGTTCCGCGGTTTCAAATTCACCAGTATTCGGATAGTAAACATCCGTCTTTGATATCTTAACGATTTTATGATTCTCTTTGTTTATCATTTTCACCAAATAAAGTTTGAAATGTGCTCTTGAATCAGTGTTGTTCTCTTCCCTCCCCCGAGCCCCTTCTTCTCCTCGCCCCTGCTTCCCTCTAAATTTGATTAAAATTGAGAATGATGAAAACAGTCTATAAAATGAGAAATAAAAGCAATTCCTTACGGTTTAATGCCATTTTTATTGTATATTGCAGAATCTTGCTGGTAAAGTCTAATCTTATTACGAATAAAATCAATTTTGACATTTAATGTGTAGGGAAATAAACCTGCGAGTTAATCCAATCGATAGAAAGTTACGACCCGTATCATTTACTAGAATGAAAGCAACAATATTGTCCTGCGTACGTTGAACCCAAGGATGGGGGTTGCTTTCAACCCCTACATTTTTAACCCTTAATTTGCTAGACTTATAAACATATTCTGTCCTTCTTTGAATTTTAGAGCTGAACCTTGTTGAAAATAGAAATCTTGATAAAACAGCCAATGGTATAGAGCCTGGTCTGGCTGCAGGCTTGTGAATGAATGTAAGTTCTATAAGTAGTTCTAACATGTGGTTTCAGATGTAAACAAAAACAGAGGGTGTAATATTTGATATTGTATAACGAGTGTATAACTTTGACATCCAAAGGAAAGAATTACTTAATCCAGGTGAACTTTTACCCAAATTATGGAAATAAACTTAGCAGTAAATTACTAGGTTAGAATAAAAACTGTATCCGTTCTGTGTACGAGGTCTTTATCCGAAGACTGACAGAAAGTGTCGAAAAGTTGCAATTGCGAGGTTCTTATCCGAAGTTTGACGGGAAGAGCCGAGAAAAGACGATTGCATGTCTCTCTCTAAAAGAATTATGTCATGAGTTTGAAAATTAAGGAAACTCTACTGTCACAGTGATGAAAAACACTGTTGTCCAACGGTGATATGAGCCGCGTCATGACAAAACCAACATAATAGGTTTGCGACCAGCATGGATCCAGACAAGCCTGCGCATCCGCGCAGCCTGATCAGGATCCATGCTGTTCGCTTACAAACCCTATAACAAATAGAAAAACTGATAGCGAACAGCATGGATCCTGATCAGACTGCGCGGATGCGCAGGCTGGTCTGGATCCATGCTGGTCGCAAACCCATTATGTTGGTTTTGTCGTGACACGGCTCATTTATAAAATCGGAATACATATAGTACGGTTGGTATATTTTAAATTCCAACTGGAAATTACACATGTAATGACATGTAAAATCTGTTAAGTGTCAATTACTGCTAATAAATCAGACATAATTGGTCGCCTAGATTATTCAATTAGAGAAATAATTAATTTTAGTGGACCCTTAATTGGAATTACAACCTTGCTGACTAAGTGTACATGATGATTTGTAAATGGCCGCTAAAGTCAATTTTATACGATGACATGTTTCAGCGCATCTTTTGCGAATATAGCAAGAAAGTGTTGTTTCTTTTAAGTCTGTTTGGTACCGGCAATTCCTCTCATTGAAATTGGGGTTCCCTTTATACCTATTGGAGAAGAAGCAAGTCAGAGACTCGTGTAAACTACGAGGCGACGAGAAAAAAATCTGCCCTAAGGACGCCAGAGATTGAAGAAGGATCAAGAAAGAGGACGGAAGCTCAAGTCATTGATGACGTGAGCTCGAGTTGATGTTTGAAGTTTGAGTTTCTTATGACGGAAGCTCGAGTTATTGGTTACGGGAGGTCGAGTAATTGATGACGAAAGCTCGAGTTATTGACGACGGAAGCTCGTGTTATTGATGAAGGGAACTCTAGTTATTAACGACGGAAGCTCGAGTTATCGATGACGGAAGCTCGAGTTATCGATGACGGGAGCTAGAGATATTGAAGACGGAAGATCGAGTTATTGATGACGGAAGCTCGAGTTATTGATGACGGGAGCTCGAGTTATTGATGACGGGAGCTCGAGTTATTGATGGTGTTAGCTCGAGTATTTGATGGCGAAAGTTCGAGTTATTGATGACGGGAGCTTGAGTTATTGATGACGAGAGCTAGAGTTATTAATGATGGAAGCTCGAGTTATTAACGACGGAAGCTCGAGTTATTGATGACGGGAGCTCGTGTTATTGATGACGGGAGCTAGAGATATTGAAGACGGGAGATCGAGCAAGAGCTCGAGTTATTGATGACGGAAGGTCGAGTTATTGATGGCGAAAGTTCGAGTTATTGATGACGGGAGCTTGAGTTATTGATGACGAGAGCTCGAGTTATTGATGGTGTTAGCTCGAGTATTTGATGGCGAAAGTTCGAGTTATTGATGATGGAAGCTCGAGTTATTAACGACGGAAGCTCGAGTTATTGATGACGGGAACTCGTGTTATTGGGGACGGGAGACCGTGTTAATGGTGACGGGAGTTTGAGATGTTGATGATAGAATGTCGAGTTATTGATGCGACGGGAGTTTGAGTTATTGATGCTTGGAGCTCGAGTTATTGATGTCGGAAGCTCGAGTTATTTATGACTGGAGCTCAACTTATACATGACTGGAGTCTGAGGTAATAATGACAGGAGCTCGAGTTATTGATGTCGGGAGCTCGAGTTATTGATGAAGGGAGCACGTGTTATTAATGATGGATGTTCGAGTTATAAATGTAGAGAGGTCGAGTTATTAATGACGGAAGCTCGAGTTACTGATGTTGGAAGCTCGAGTTATTGATGACGGAAGCTGAGGTTTTGATGACGGAAGCTGAGTTATTAATTACGGAAGCTCGGGATTATTCTTGATGACGAGAGCTCTCTTTATTGATGAAGGGAGCTCGAGTTATTGGTTTTACTACACGTGTAAATCAAGTGTTTTTTTAACCATTCAATGTAGGCACTCTTGACTTACTATCAGAGGTGTCAAAAAGGGAAACGTTGTCGTGACCAAAGAACAAATCGGACTAATGACACTTTGAATAGGGGACAGACACCTTATAACTATTATGAATTTGGCAAACGACCCAAAACGACTCTCACTAAATCGGATAATTTATTAAAGGCACATTTAGTGTCAGAAACGAATAGATTTTTACTGCTTAAATATTGCAAGCTTTGGTTGTATAATGTTCAAATGAAGGTTTTAGTGCATGTTAAATGCTTTTTACGCTAAATGTAAAATGATATGTCATAAATGTAACAAAAGAGTATTTTGACTTATACAAAATCTAAAATTAAATTACTAATTACCCAAAAAAGCAACAGGGAAAAAAATAGTAAAGGGAAATTTTATATTCATTTTGGAAAATTTAAAAATACCCAAAATTAAAATTTTAGGAAAAAAGATTAAAGCTTTATGGGCCTTTAAGGTTCTCATTGGTTTATTTTCGTATCAAATAATAAGTTTTTTTTTATTTTACATAATATTATAAAGAATATAGAAAAATATAACCAACGTTGTATTAACGCTATAAACGTCGTAGATAAGTAGAATCGCCGTCACGTAGGTAGCAAACACAAAGAAAATAACGCGTAAACCAGGGGAAAGTTTGATAGATTTATACGTCACTTCTATATACAGCACGGAGCCTGCTTGTCAAAATATTCACTTTTGCGTGACTGTATACAAATTAATTTTTGAAACATAAATGGTTAATCCTGAGAAAATGATTTATAATCTAGGTCTCGTGAGCGTTTATTTTCGGCTGTTTTTATTCGTTGTTTTTTTCGGTAATTTCTTTAAACTTGTACTCGTATATATATCAAAATCTACCTACATGTAATAATAATTATATTGTACTTTATATTTGTTTTGACGTCTTTTGTAGACGTAAATATAATTCTATAGTGTATTGTACATGTATGCATCAGTAGATATTAATTTATATTTATAGTATTAAAATGCAATTAATAAGACTTCTTTTCGACTGATATGACTGTATACAAATTAAACAACAACAAACGATGCTTACAAAAGTTATATAAATCACAAACACTGAGTTACTGATCCCACCCCTACCGACTACTCGCCTTTAGAATGTATTGAACAAAATAAAAAATAAATAAATGAAATATTCAGTAGGAATCGAAATACCTTTGTTATTAAACATGTGTCTAAATTTAAAAAAAAATATACGTATTAATAGGAAAATATAAACTTACTCGTAGTAAAATATTTAATTTATTATCAAACTCAGACAATGTCCTCCCTAATTTTCTGTTCACGTCATTAACCGAAACACACACCAGAATATAATCCTGCACATTTGTACGAGTGCTTTCGCACGTTATCTCGTGAAATTTGAAACAAGCACCACGCAAGGGCTGGGCAATAGTATCAAATGATGATAAAAAGTGATAAAATGTAATTACAACTATAAACAGACATGGCCGGTATTATTATACATGTTCATGTGTCGTTCTGCACCAGCATCCTTGACAATTATGTCATTCTACAGGTTGTGCGTACTCAAGTGTCTTATATTGCCTATACGGTCATTGTTATCGTTAGTTTTATAATTTTCTATTTTTATGATTTTAAGCATCCGTATTACTTAGTTGTCATATCGTAAGTTGTAGAGAAAATATGAACATATTTTCTCACAAATGACCGCATATGTAATAAGACATATATTTTTTAGGTATGCATAAGGACATAAACACATTAACAAAAAATGGTTAAATGTTTTAAGGTGAAATTAATGTTCAGATGAAAGTGATTACATGTACATCTGTATTTAATTTTGTCTTCAGAGCGTGCCAGTTTACATATACATGTAAGTATAAGTTTACATATAAGTAAGTTAACAAATAAGTAAGTTAAAATGTAATATAAATAAGAGCTTGAGATATTGAAGACGGGAGGTCGAGTTATTGATGACGGGAGCTCGAGTTATTGATGACGGGAGCTCGAGTTATTGATGACGGAAGCTCGTGTTAATGATGACGGAAGCTCGTGTTAATGATGATAGGAGCTTGAGATATTGAAGACGGGAGCTCGAGTTATTGATGACGGGAGCTCG